CCTTCTCTTTAAAGTCAAGACAAATATACTGAATCTATCAAACCCTGACCATATTCTTCTTTGTTGTTTGTAGGTGAAGAAGTGGTACAGGAAGGCGGTGCTCTCTGCCCACCCTGATAAGCAGGTGGGAACACCCAACGAGGAGCTTGCCAAGCTGATCTTCATGGAGCTCAGTGACGCATGGTCAGCCTTTGAAGAAGCCGGTGCACAAGCACTCTTCTAATGGATGTTCCATCGGTATTAAGGCCCCCTTGATTTAACTGCCATTAGGTTTTTATATGTCGTCTGTGGAGTGGGGTGGACTATGAGAGGATGTGGAGTAACACCATTTGTTGGACTCTTCTGATCTGCACAAAACCAAGTAGACCAACTGTCCTTAAGACTCAACCCTTTGGTCCTGTGACTGAAATGTCAATCTCATTAACTGGTATCCCCCTGGATCTATGGATTTGCCAGAAGGTTCCAAAGACCAAAACCTGTGGTAGCATGGATCTTTGTTCTTGAGAACTGATGGTCTTCTGAACCTTCAGACTTGATGTCAGAAGGTCCACAAAGATCAGAAATTTCTTTCTTGCAAATCTACATTCTCCTTGACCTTCTGTCTCAAGAACTACCAACCTGTCAGGTCCCCAAGACCAAAACCTGTAGTCTCAAGAACTGTTGGTCTTTTGAACCTTCAGCCTTGTTGTTAGAAGGTCCATAAAAAAGCCTCTTTTCATGAAATTTTGCCATCGCAATGTTTTTTGAGGCGTTTCCCCTTGTCATGCCTTCGTGGGGCTTCAGGGGTGGTAGTTGGGGATTTCCGTAGACTGGTGAGGTTGTAAAGTCATGTAAATCCACGTACATTAGGGTTTAATAATGTGTGTGATCATCTCTCTCAGAACCATATTAATATATCATCAAAATGGAAGTGAAATATGTTTCAAGTTATTCAAGCTGAAATTATTTTGTATTTGTTTGTAATAATAAGATTAAAGGGATAGCTGAGTTCTGTTTTCAGACCGCAAATGCCTTCAAAGTGCATGGTTATTGCTCTTATTCTTATCTATGACATTTCTAGTACCCTTTTAGAACCTAAAATTGCTATGAAGGTAATTTTAGACCCCAAAATGTGTGAAATTTAGCCAAGACGGGCATACCAATTCAGCTCCACTTTCAAAAAAACATGGTGACCGTTAATTAATTATTTAATAAAAAATAACAATACATGGGCCGACTGGTTGCGCGTAATATAAGCAACACGAAAATGCCGACAACCAAGCCAACATCGGCATTGGCTGAAATACGACGTAAACGGCTTTAATCATATTTTTAACGGTTTTTTTCAAATTTTTCAAAATACCTAATATTTGTGGTGGTACACAAGTATTAGAAATCGTTATATTTTAGCCGTCTCTGAACCGATTTTGATCAAACAAAGATGATTTTGTCATTTAAATATGATGTTTTTTCAAATTTGACACTCAGTTTTTCATTATCTCACAAACAAATTATTTTTGTAGCGCCCTCTGCAACAGAACTCAACTTTCCCTTTAACGTTGAAGACATAGGATTAGTACTATTTTCAAATAGTCATCGCTTTTGGCTATGATTTGAATAGACGTGATAGTTGATTTAGACTAATTTCGGGTAAGCACTTGTGATTTTGTTGCTGATATTTTTAGTAGTATATGTACAAGCAGCTATGTAATGCTAGAATATTGCTGTTCATTTTTGGTCTCAATCTTATTCACAGAGAGAGAGAGTGACCCCCCCCCCCCCCCTATAGGCAATGTGACTCCATCGTTGGACCTGTTCTACAGTACAACCGTAAGGTTCTTATGTATGCATGAGCGGCTATTGCAATAGTTCACCCCTCATGGTACTGCTTGCCCAAGCACTGGCTTTACTCTAGGTACAAGAACCAAGATTTGTGATTATTGATGACACCATTCAATGCAGTGCAGACTTCTCTCTGGAGAGTGAAGATGCAAGTCTTAGAGATATCTCTGGTTGGACTTTTTGAAAAGGGTTTTATGAAAAGTTTTCGAATGATTTGGTCTTTGAGAAGAGCTGGAATGGGCGAAGGAGTGGACAGACAGGGCACTTGGTGTGCCAAAGACACATGTAGGAAAGATAAAGGGAAAGAAGAGTAGAGGAAGGAGAAGCATACTCTGGATGGAAATCCTGCAGAAGTGGAGAGGAGTAAGAGACCAGTAAGTAATGTTGATGAAGGTCGTCTAAAACATTGTTGTGGATCAACATGATCACCATAGTTTACAGATATGGCACCTACACAAAGGAAGAGAGAGAGAGAGAGAGAGAGAGAGAGAGAGAGACAGAGAGAGAGAGAGATCATCAAGGTTGTTTGTATCTTGAATTATGTGCCCCTATTTAAAAAGACATCACATGTATCTTTCTTTCATAATCATAGAAGTCCAGTATTTTCTTGCATTCCTGTCAGTTCCTTGGTTAATTCCTACCATCTTTTTGAATCATTTTTGATAGTTGCTACATCCAACTCTACCCACGTACGTTTGTGCTCAGTGGCCTTGTGAATGAGTAAATTGTGTCTATTTTATGCAATAATCAGTTATCTTATTTATCGAAAAATACATGTAATTGATATTCAGTGTTTTAGTTACATTAACATTTAAGATTGAATTTTAACATAATTTTCAATTCAGTTGTGTGGCATATGTATGAGAACATTGGTTCAGTGATGGTTTTGTCCCCTCTTTGAAAATGAATGGTTAAATATGAATTCCCCCAGGAAATATATCCCTTATTAAAATTTCTTATTTATCGTCTGTGACTAGGCATAATGCAATGTGTTGGGTATACGATATGATATTGAATGGTTAAGGATTAGCTATAAGTACACGTGACGTTTCAGCAATTTGCTGAATTTATCAGTGAGAAGTTTATCGATTTGATTGTTTTAATATAGCTTGGTTGAGGTATGTTTTGTCTGAAAATAAAAAGTGGTGCAGTTGTTTAACATAACAGTATTGGAGAACTTAATATATTACCTGTGGATTGTAGCCCTTATATTTGACCCAAACATATTAATCTCATTTCTCATATTCATCAATGTTTTGTGCTACAGTGCTGATCCTTAATTATGTTTTGTGAAAAATTAAACATTTAAGATTTAACCCTCCTACCCCCAACCCTACAGTATATGCCAATTAATCCAAGTTCTAAAATTAGCTTCTTTTTGCATATTTATCATATCAGTTGTTTTTAATGTACTCATTTATTGATATTGTGACGTCTAACATTTAATCAATAATTTTGATGGTTGTGAAATACAAAGTATTCAAACTCTTTTTGAAACAATCATAGAACTAACTTCCATGGAGCTAAACCCTTGTACTCGGCATGCACGAAGTGTGTAAGTTTCCATGCATCACATGCAGTACAGAATGAAACATCGTTCAGACTCGACACTGCAAAACTGCAGCATATTTTTATGATGTAAATTGTAATACTCCTCACATTTCTGTATCGTGTTACACAGAGCTCGGTGAATACGCACAGGACCTGTGTTGAGCGCAGTTGCCATTCATCTGTACGTTGTAAAAAGACGTTCACCGCATTATATCAGAACGAGTCTTGAAAGGAAAATCATTCGTGCGATTCCGTTCAGTCACATTCCAGTTTCTTTTTTTCTTTTGTAAAGGTTTGATACATGTATATTGACATGTGCAGAAATTATACATGTATCTCTTGCCTACAAAATAACCATCATTGATTTTGAAAGAGTATGTGGGTAGTTTATTTGTATGTATATTAGTACTATTTAGAATTGATTTTTATGAAATAATAATATGGATTTTTGCTGAATGACTGGAAACTTTTTTTTATTGCATATGATATCAAAAACAACATAAAGGAAGTAAAGTTGTATTACATGTGTTCAGGTGAATGCTGCATGTACGTGCAAAGTGTATTAATATGAGAGAGAGAGAGAGATTTAACCTTTTGGAGGATTGTTTCAAGTATGTGAGGGAAAAAATGTATAAACAAATAGTATTTTCAATCGTACATTCTATTTACCAGCTTTTGTGAATTTCATTCCCGAAATATGTGTGACACAGAAAATTATTTATGCTTATATCTACTCTAAGAGAGAATCGTATTATTGTCTGATGTCTCTGAAGAAAGTATGTTATTGTGCCACCGTAAATGCTGGTATTTATTTAAATCTTTTGTACCAACAGAGAACCTATGGAACCACAATGACACATATATGAACATTGCAACATTTTAAAAGCATAACTTATTGTAGTGTAGTTTACCAAATGATTATGGTTGTTACTTATCCGTATCCATATGTTTTTTAGTTGTAATATGGACTTAGAAATTTTGCAATTTTGTAACAGTACAAGTATTTGTTTTAGAATGATGCAATTTGCTTACCAAATGTCCTCATTTTGACATTATGGTTTTTTTTTATTTCATGCACATGTTTATTGAGGTTAATCTTAATCATTCGATCTTGTAGTAATTCATTGTAAGGGCAACAGTTTTGGTGAGAGTTACAATGTCACAGACATTAACAATGAACTAACATTAATACAAAGTCTAACATTTACATTTATCAATAATTATGACTTGAATTTTGAATATTCAAACCTACAAACATTCAAGTTATAATGAAATGTATACATTCAGTTGATAATTAACGATATCATTCATTCAACTTACTCTTTCATGTTCATTTCGCAATCGCAGGTTTGTGTTCGACCTGCTATACACTGATCACATGTCGGAGAGTTAGTGATTATGAATATACATTTATCAACAGAAATTTATTGACTGTCCACCTCTACATATAAGATTTTGTGTATGTTAAAATCTTCATTGTGAAGGGGTCATGACATAAAAATGTTGTACCAGCTTCAAAAACAAGAGAGCTAATTGGAAATGATCCGCTTATGTTGAATACATGTATTGTAGCAGGTGAATATGTTTCCCTTTCATCCTTGTTTGGAAGAATCCTGGTAAAAGTTGAATTTGATGGACCTTTCACCAGTTATTGCCCCCGCTATTTGATGTTTGCAGAGTCCTTTTCCTGAACATGTACAATGCATTACCTACATTCTATGAAAATGGATATGTGTAAGAAAATGCAGTCATTTAAGTGAAGACGATTTTTGCGAGGTGAAAGAATTATTAACCTCTTGTGTGTCATTAGGTTTATACTAATCTTAGCTTTTAATATCTCAAAAAATTCTTTGAAAAAAGAAGGTTATTTAAAGACAAGTGTAAAGTTATTTTCAACAATATTTCTCAAGATTTGCATATGGCATGGATGGGGTTTAACAATAATTGTTAGGTGATCACAATTTCACCTGAAATACATCTACATCGCACTTCCATTTCAGCTAGAGTTTCAAGGTGGTTTTGTAGATGCCGGAATTAAGAAAAAGAAACAAAACCTAAGAGGAATTCTCAGGAGGGGAGATCTTGCACCTCTAGTTCTGATATTGTTGATATATGTAAAGTCATGGAATTGAAGTCGGTTGTTGATAGATTTAACGCATACATATAAATATATATATAGATATGATGAATATTGACCCCTATGTCGAAGCTGTGATTATGAAATAAAGTGTCATATATGAAAACAAGTCCCTAGTTTCTTGTTGTATTTATGTTACAGAGAAGAGATATATATTTTGTGTGTGAATTATCTTTAACAAATATTGTTGTGGGGAGTTCCATTTCAAGATCTTGTTCTCGTGTTATCTCCAGAACCATTCAGAAAGAGCGATTGTCTCATATTGATAATAATTATTTAATAAAAATATGTAATGTAAAATTTTAACGCAATGCAAAATGAAACGAAAGATTCAGAATGTTTGTACATTTATATATCTTTTTATTTACACTGCATTTGTTTCATTTATTTATTCATTTATTTACAGAAATAGTCATGATTTTACATTACTTTACCCCTTACAAACCAATACCGGTACTAGTAACCACTAGAATAGCAAATCATTGGTTCTACATTACCCCTTCTGCTGCCTAAGCCATCTTTTTTAACTGCAAAATCATGTTGATAGTCGGAACAGATCATTACAAGAAAGGGGGACGATTGGGGCTCTAATAATCAAAAACCAACTGCGCTGCATAAACTGATGGCTTGTGAACATAGTTTGAAATACATATTGGGAAAATACATACAGAAATACGGCCAATCAATTGGAACACCTCACATTTTTAGTCCTTTTAGATGTCTCCAGGGTAGGCCCGAGTTTTGTACAGTATGAAAGAACAGGATTTTACTACAAACAGTATGGCTATAGGGCAAGCAATATGTGATACACTACATAGATATATGTAGGACTCTGGCAACACCGTCTCCAAGCTTCACGTTCATACTGTGCAAAGACAATATATGGTCCTTATTATAATATGGTCCATGTTAGCTGCAGGAGAATTGCTAGCAATTCAGACTCGGGACACTGGGTAATTAGCTTTAAAGCAAAGCAGCTGCAAGATTGAATAAGATGAGTGCAGTGTGCTTCATATTTATGCAGTTAACAAACGACAGATTAAAGAGTATGCATGGGGGGGGGCGGTATCATCATTTCTGCTATGTCCATTTTCTCCCAAAAATACTGCCTTCTACAAAACATTAACCAAACGCACAATAATCGTTCAGTACGTCGGGTCTGAACAAGGTTTTAGGAGATTGTCAAAGCCTGTAGTTGCCAGGAGAGTGACTGGAGCTGTCTCTTCAGCTGAACTGGTTCTGTGAAGAAGTAGACAAAGAGCTGGCGCTGTTCAGACAACAAGAAAAATTGTTCACTGCGTCAGGTATGAACAACGCTCTAGGAGATTGTCAAAGCTTGTAGTTGCTGGGATAGTGACTGGAGCTGTCTCTTCAGCTGAACAGGTTCGGTGAAGAAGTAGACAAAGAGCTGGCGCTGTTCAGACAACAAGGGATCACTCTTCAGGGTCTGTGTGGGAGAGAGAGAGAGAGGAATGAGAGGGAAAGAAGGATACAAATAAAGGTAGTGTATCCATTCACACCTTTCTGCTGGGTATACAATGATATGCTTGGGTCTAGGCAATCAGGAAATCTATATCTTTATAGACTTTGCAGGAATTCAAAAATTAAATCAGTGAATTATGAATCAACCGAAAGCTTATAAGCCAAAGATTACAATATTATTATCATATGCTGATTTAGTGTCTACAGCTTTCTGAAAACTCAAAATCTAAAACTTTGAAAATTGGAAGTTGTCGACCTAAAAACTAGCTATTGACTTTGATGACATCATCTTATGTGGAGTATGCATATTCACATTGACTTTGCATTAATTAATTAAATCAAACCCAAATACCTTGAATCTTAATTTCCCACTGGTTTTCCATTCATTTACAGATTGCACAAGACAATCTAGGTTCTAAGACGTACCGCAAAACTGACTCTTGACACAATGCACTTACCTTCAGTTTATTGTTGTAATCACCCATCAGGTCCATCATGCCTTGCGTGAGGTCTTCCAGCATCTTCTCCAGTTGAGCGATTCCATCTAGTATGGCAGGGGGTGTCAGCACGGGCTGGCCGTCCTTCGTGGTCGAGCCGGCGTAGACCATGTTCTCACACTGGGTCAGGTTCCTCTCCCTGTGAAACAGGAGAATAAGCAGTAGTATTTAATGAACTGTGGGTAGTCAATGACTCCATTTCGAGGATGTCTAGCTTCTACTACAGTTGGTTTTAAAGTCTCATGTGTTTCCACTGATGGCTAAAAGGGCAAATTTTGGATTGGCGGAGAAGTCCACAGGTTAGGCAGGCAAAGTTTGGGATTTGTGCTGATGTGTGTGTGCTTGTAATTGTTTTTTTTACAGACATGTATCAATCAGATATGATTATTTATGTCTGAGGACCGACCTCTAATGTCACCATCCGAAAGACGCGACTCAGTTTCGAACCTGCATCCTCGGCTAAATCAGTTTGTAACTTCCATTGTTGGCTTGATTACAGGCGCACGCCACAACGCCCCGATGTTGTGCCTCTGGTCTTTCTTATTGCTCATTGGACAACTCAAGCTTGGCGTATCTTGGATTTGAACTTTGTATCAATGTAATGAGATGACTTTCCAAGTACCCTATGTCTAAGAGTTCTTTTCAGTCCATTATATTTTTTATCATCCAGAAGAGACTTCTAAAAGAGAAATACTGTGGGTTAATTCTGCTGAGCTATCAACAGAGTTCGGTTCAGTTCAGTTCAGGGTTCAAATCAAGGCCAAGTGTTCATATCCATACACAATGCATTTTATCTAGAGTTGTCTCTCTTGACACAGGTTTAGAAATGGACAAGGAGAATTTCCTAGAATGCTCAAAGTGCCCCCAAAATGGCAACTAGGCTATAGCCAGGGTTATAATGATAGAGCTAAGAGCATGATGCCAATAACGATGAGGTGTAGTGGTCCAGTGGATGTCCCTGACTGTGGATCACAAGGTCCACAGTTCGAATTCTACTGCGGCACTAATGTCCTTTGGCAAGACATTAGACATTTGCCACACTCAACCCAGGTGAGGTATAATGCGCTGATAACGAGTGCCGGGAAATGATTTCCAAATCTCTTTGGAAGCGCATAGAGATGTTATTTCATGATATATTTTGCAATATACAAGAACTGAATATTATTATTATTATCATCATTACTGTTGTTATCAAAATAATTCCAACATGAATTTCCTAAAATATTTTGAGTCGGTTTACTTACAAGGAAGCTAGCCGACCCTCCTGGCTATCCCAAGCAAGGCGCAGGTTGTCTCTCAATGACGATAGTCTATTCACAAATACTCTGCTATCCTCCAGCAGGCCAGAGTATGTCAGAAACAGCTGTTGCTCCTGCTTTCCACCAAGGCCTATGAGGATCGGGTGAAAATGTAAAGCAAAGCAGGATAGGAATGGAATTGAGCAGAAAACAGCATGTTGGTATTGTTGTTGTCTTGTTCATAACTTGCTGACAACTAGCTTGAAAGAGGACAAAGTCCTTCATACCCAACATAAAAGTTTAAGAAATACAAATTGTGCAACTTTAAAGTGACAGTTGCACACTTTCCATACTTATAGGATACCTTTGGTAGTTCCTATTGCACTATTTTTGTGATCTACAACATTTACCGGTACTTTGATTATATAGTCAAGAAAGATTACCGAGAGTCCTTTTCAGGACTCCTTAATCCTCCCTCTCTCTCTCACATGGTGCACCCGCAAGCCTAACTATATATACTTATTTAGTATTTCAGAACTCAACTTCTTTTCTACTTCCCTTTAAAGCCTAATTTGTAATTAATACTTATTCCCTGTTCTAAAGTAACAATCCTACCATTTTTTTTATGAGAGGAAATATTTTGTTTATGTTAATACGCCGTTTGTAATGAATTCAGTTCATGCACTTTTTATTGCAAAATCATTTTTAATTCAGCTCATTTGTAGACAGAGGATCTTTCTATACAGGTGGTCACTACAGCAGGTTTGACTGTATCTGAGGACATCATACCAATCATCTCATGTAGTCTGTTGACCGTTTGATCTCTGCTGTCCACTGTACTTCTTGTTTCAGTATTGATGTTCAGGTCAGGATCTGAGAGGAATCCCTGGGAAAAAAGGAGAATAATTGTGTCACTTATTCTGGCATAGTCAAGTTTCCTCTTCAACTTGGGTGTTGACTGAAGCCAAACTTGACACAGCCCCACATATGGATGGTCCCTGTATGGAAGATTACAGCTATGCCCCAAACAGAAGGCAGTCTTGCCAACTGTATTGCTGCTACAGGTAACCATGTAATCCTGTACTGCAAGTTCATGTTCGGGTAGCCGGTGACCAAACCGGCTACCCCAATGAGCTCATGGGAGGGTGCCAAGCCCCCCCCCCCCCCCCCCCCCCCAGCAGGATTAAATAAAACACCTGCCACAGTGTGGTCCATGCCATGGTGTGTTCAGAGAGTATATGAAGAGCTTAATTCCCAAAGGAGCTAAATCCGCTTTGGGTATTTCCAGGTAAATCACCTTTTTTATTATACCACTTTCCCTTTAGTAATGTATGTACATCTTTGGATATATATGTTAGAGGTGTTACCCTTGACCAATAATATATGGTTTTAAAAAGTCTAAAAAGTATATTTTTTTCACCTGAATTTAAAAAAAATTGTTTTCTTCCTGGCTTAAGCTCCTTTTGAAATTAAACATAACTTTGTATGATGACTTTTAATATGATTCCTTAGAACATAATTCTGGATTACAAACTCACCTAAACTGTGCCCCCATGATTCACAGAGATTTCTGTCTTTGCAAGACAAACTAACACACATTTCTAAACATCCTACTCACCATTGACCGGTGATGCATGGTGAGGTCCTGTTGTAGGAGCTTGGTGGATGCCGTCATGAGTCTGTGTGTAGCTCTGTGATGATGTGCTTCCACCTCATAGGCCATGTCCAGGAACTCCTTGCGTGCTCTCTGGACCGACAGCAACTCAATCAGCTGCGATGCAAATGATAGGAATGATCATGATGAGAATAATGATGATGATGATGATCAAAGTACTAACTTCTTTTCAGGTTGTTTTAGAACATTTGAGTAGATAAAGTGACAGTTTCTGTGATTTGTTGTTGTTGACATCTTTAATTTGTTCACAGAGCTTTATTTATTTTTGACATTACTTTCAACTCTTGTAAATTTTCCATGGTTGTGATGTATATATGCAGGGAAAATATTATGTCCCAAGCAGAAGAACACTGACAAATTATTGTCAAATTTGAAATTTTAGAAGTTTGTTATGAAGGGATGAATAGATTAAGAGGAAGATCAGGGCTAAAAACAAAGAGAAAGCAATGTACCAAGTTAGCAAATAACCATGTACCTTGTAATAATGAGTGTTTGTTATACAGTAAGTCTTCTTTACATAACAAGGTTCCATCATCATATCCATCCATCACTTTTGACAACAGATTTGAAGATGTAATGTATAGATGCAGACATGTATTCAAAGGAAGTTCAAAACTAAACTGCATATTTTGACAAATGTACATCTGCTGGTCATGCATAGGTTCATACCCTTTGGCCGGACACATGTTGATATCCATAAACATGTACATTTATCATTTATTTTCAGCTTATTCTATTATCCAAAAGTATTCCGAAGCAGACTACTAATTTTACATGTACATCTACATGTATCTACCTGTTCTTGTTTTGATGTGAAGCAGTCGATCCTGCCTTGCAATCTTGAGATTGTAGTCTCCTGATAGTATGTGTGTAGCTTATTTTCAACTTGTTTTATTTTCCGAAGTATTCTGGAGCAGAGTACTAATTTGACATTTACCTTATCTTGTTTTGATGTGAAGTAGTCCTGCCTTGCGATCTTGAGATTGTAGTCCCCTGATAGTATGTGTGTAGCTTGCAGAGAAGCATTGACCTCTAGCAGACGAGGGATCTCGCTCTCCCAGATCTGGACGGCTTGGTTGAGGGCAGCATTTTTCTGTCGTTCGCACTGCTCTAACTTCTCACTGATTAACGGAGAGGAAAAATGTAAGAAACTTGTTCATAATTTTTCCTTCAGTAAACCAGGGGAGTATTTCACAAAGACTAAGATTAACTTTAAGTTGGACTTAACTATGGCAGGCCATTCATACCACTGGTTGCTCTCACCATTATGATCTGTAGATGATATTTTTTCCTTCAATAGTGATTTGAACAATGAAAAAATGAAAATTCTGTAGATTTATGATCATGATTTTTTTTATGTCCCTTGAGAGACCAATACCAGTAAATGGTGAGAGCAAACAGTGGCCTGAATGGCCTGCCATAGTTAAGTCCAACTGAAAGCCGATCTTAGACTTTGTGAAACACTCCCCAGGATTTATTAACACTAAATACAAAAAGACATCTATAACTTCTTTATAGATATTATTATTACCCCGAACACTGGATTCATTCATGTACATATCAAAATTTGTTCAAAAATAACTTGAAAACCTAGCCAAAATCTGATGTAATTAACGTTGTTTAACTATATTTAATTATGTTTAATTATTTTCGTTTCGTTGTAACTTCTCATGTAATTTCATATGCTTAATGTATCTACCTTGTTAGGCACCTTAAGTATCCCTGGGGTGGATATGTGTGCATTATAAATGTTGTTATTATTCATTTTGTTAATTGAGCATCTAAATGTTAACCCACTGCCTATGGGTATAAGGTGGTTCCTGTAATAAGCCTAAGGGGGTTGAAGAATTCAGTAGTTACCGGGTTAATGTTTTGCAACCCTAAGATATAAGCTTGGCTGGCAAGTGGCAACCCAGTTCAAGAGATATGTGAAATGAGAGACCTGTCAACTACAGAATATCTGCCCTTTGGTAGAACAGTGAAACCTACCTATAAAGACCACCAAAGGGAGACAAGATAAGTGGTTTTTGTATACAGGTTCTTTTAGTACATGTTTAAATGAAAAATCATTTTCAAGGGAAACAAAGAATGTGGTCTTTGTAGACAGGTGGTCTTTCTAAACAGGTGATCCCTAGAACAGGTATGACTGTATACTATCATAAACTTGTTACCTGAGACTGTGAACATCTCGTGGATACAGTTGGTGAGAGATTGAATCTAGCCTCTTCTCTGCTAGCCTGTGGGCCGCAGTCACTCTGCTTTCTTCAAGGAGTGCTTTCATGTACCCTCTCTGACTGGTTGGGTACCTGTCAACATTCAAATTAGGACGCAGTCAAAGAGAAAAACATAAAAGTGTATGGAAATACATGAGACATGTGAAGGACAATGTAACATGAAATTAGTTTTAGTTCAGCATCATTTTCACCAGCATACCTACACAACGTTTTGCTTTTCTCTGATATTTCTTCAACCTTGAGGCTTACAGAACATGCAACACGACACATTTTTGTAACAAAAAATATTATGAGGCAACCCTGGTATCATGTGACTAAATAAACAATTAGAAACTAAGTACATTTCTCAGATTTGTGGTTTATAATCTATTCCTTATGGCACTACAAAGAAGAAATTTCATACTTACTAACCTAAATTTTACCTCACTTCTTTTCTGCACTTTGTTTGACAGACAAGGGAGGGAGTGGGAGGGGGGGGGGGGGGGAGACAAATTTACATATTGAATGTCATTGGACTCAATTTATAAAGAAATTTCAGTGTTGCCACTTGCCTATTTGAAATGGGAAATCTCATTAATCTAAAGGAAAAGAGAGCCTCAATATCTTTCTTACTGATTGTTTAAAGGCCGTCTGTACTAGTTGGCTAGGAGGGTTTTGACCACCCAGGAAGGTCACTGACAGGTGGCTATCTCATCAACTCAGCTCTCAATTAACAAAAGAAAAAGAGGATCATGGGGGACCAATGGTCACCGATTAGGCATTGTTTCTATATAGAGGGAGCAAGTAGTACAGATGGGTTTTAAAATGTCTGATGAAAGGCAACATGTGTCTTACAGTGTCTTTAGCCTTGCAAGCTCCTCACAGTCAGCCTCGGTCACATGACACTGCTCTCCTCGTATGACCAGAGATCCAGGTTCACTGACCTCTAGCAGCTCGTACCGTGACCCTTCATTGTGACCTGCTAATTGTGCTATGCCCTGTATATAAAACAAATTAAAAAATAACGAAATCAATTTATTATTCAATGATGTTTATTACTGGGACATATACCCCCCTTTTGAAATGTTGTCAGAATTTGTCAATAAATGGGAAAACTGTTAATATATGTATACTGGAAATTTAGGCAAACTACTAGATTATTATGAAATCACATCTTGCTGGGTATAAAGCACACCAAAGTACACCAAACTTATATGGTGGTATCAAATCTACAGACATTTAGTTTAAGACTCCAAATGATGATGATTTTCTGATGTGAAAGAAGACCTCACATCATTATACAACTCGTTGTACAAAATTCCCTGCATACAAAAAAGACAATTTCCAATCTACATTTCGATCCACATGTGAAAAGCACTGACACAAATTTACCTCAAAGAACTGTCTCTTTGTGAACTGCTTGAGGGCCTGGGTATAGCTCTCCTCTGATTGGTGGAATGCTTGCAATGGCTGCTGGGACATGAATGGTGCATGCTGGGTATCGAGGCTCTTTGTCGACAGTGCCACCAGTTCAGTAATGGTCTTGTTCAGATCATCCAGTGAAGTGTTGACCTAAATTGGTTTACATTTAAAAATAAAATTAATTACCCTCATGACAAAGATGATATAAAAATTAGATCACAAAAATGAAATGGTCTTGAATGTTTGCTCTTTGCAAAGTATAATGATAAAAGAATTCTCACTGGCGGCATTTTTTCTGAGTTTCATTTTGTTATACAGGGTTGGGCCATGAAAGTTCAGGTTGACATTGGGTTAAAGATTTAGGTTCAGAGTTGGGAGTACAGAAAACATGGATTTGGTTGATATTAAAAACTGTCTGCAAAGCAAGTGCCACAGGAGCATGTGACGTACAATCACTTTAATAGGCAAACTATGAAAACATGAAACCGTGCTATCATCTGGAAATAAAAACCAATCAACAAAACTGGGCAGTACATGTATGTTGAAGTATTGTAAGTTTGTTCTTGTAAACAAATCTGTAGATATCTTGATACTTCAAGAGCCTCAAAGTCGGTTAAATTTTTGATCTTTTTGAATAAACAGTTTGTAAGGATACCTTAAAGTTGTCTTCTTGGCTATTCTCCAGCATGTTCTTATACTGACTCTCAGTCTGGGACTCCACAGGGGTAAGCTTGGTCAGCTGGTGGGTCAAGGATGTATGATGAAGGCTGCATGGTCAAAGAAATTAAAGGAGAATATCAATGTCATTTCACTAGCAAGTATAGTGATATAGGCCTAGAAGTAAACTAATATCCAGTGGAGATTACCTTAATTTGTTCCTCAGCTGAAGAAGGCTTTTCCTGTTTTTCTGAGCTCTATGTAGCTCCTCCTCCATCGCCTCTATATCATCCCTAAAAATCACAAAAACAAAACAAAAATAAAATCACACACTTGACATTGATAATTTGATATTGATATTAGAGTTATGTGTAAAATGTAAAAACAGATAATTTGTTTTGTTCATTTACATGTATGTGTCTTTATTAATCTTCTTATGGAAAAATCAACATATTTATTTCCTCTTTCTAAATAGACATCATTTTCCTTTAAATTTTACAAATATTTTTTCTTACATTCTTGGAAAAACTATCAATTCAAGGTCTTTGATTACTGAATCAAAATGTTGAACTGTATTTATAATAAGCTTTGCATGTCTTTTAGCTCCTAATAAATTCTCACCCCATATTTAGTCAAGTATTAAATTGTATAATCTGACAACAGTTCTGATGACTGACTTTTCTCGTCAAGGTGACACACATTAATGATCCTTCATGTATCAAACTTGAATTGAATGCAATCTTTTACAATAATCGAATCATATAGAAATGTAGAATATTAGGCTATGTAAAGAATTATGCACTGATTGACAGACAAGGAACATACTTAAGCTTTTCCGGAGAGAGATCATCTTCATCTCCTGTATTTGAGCTCCTCAAGGCCGTGTTTAGTTTCTCCCCTTCCAGTACTCCATCCCCAGAAGATTCCAAGGTATGAAACCTACATGTAGATGTACATTGTTCAAGGAAAACAATGTCAATGACATTAAATAAGTAAAATCAAAGTGATGTCTCAGGAATTGAACAAAAAACCCACAAGAGTTCTTTCAATTAAAAGAGCTTTAAAAGCCCCACGGCACTACTTCTAGCTACTTGCGCCCTCTATAAATATACCTGTAGCAAACGATGCCTAATCGGTGCCTGTTGGTCCCCCATGATCCCCTTTTCTTATGTTAATTGAGAGCTGATTTGATAAGATAACCACCTGTCAGTGAACTTGCAGGGACGTCTCCTGGTCAAACTAGTACAGATGGGCTTTAAAGGATAACTTAACAAATCACTTACAGACTAAATGATTTGCAACATTTTATCTCCCCCCCCCCCTTTTTTTTTTCCTGTAAAGAGGAGGTTTAAACCCAATCACACTTAACAATCAACTTATGTTCTCCCATACCTTGTTATCAGTTACTTGTCATTCCATTCTGACTATCCATGCCAGTTTTTATGGTGGCATTACTTAGCTTATATCTCCAGACCTTCATTCATTACTTACTCTGCTAATTCCTGTCTGGACAGTACATTGGCCGGTCCTACATTGTCAATGAACCAATCCAAGAAGGGGGCTACGGCGTCATTCTCAAACAACCAATCAAACGCCTCTGCTTGCAGTTCTTGGGCTTCTGGGTAATCCAGGCGCTTCAGGGTCTCCTTAAGCTTTCTTCCGTCATTCATTCTGCATAAGAATTCAGTTCAGCTCATGACTCGCATATAGTCTAGATTAGAATGTAAATAAAGCTGTTACATTCTGCACTGTGGAAAATTGATACAAAATGCATAAGTCAAGGGGTCAGTGACACAAAGACTTAACTCCATTTTCGCCATTTTGAGAAAAAGTGGTTTAGAATCTATGTGTCTCTGAGCACTTTGGCTTAGTTTAAGGAGTTAAGTATAGAGTCTATGTTTCACTAGCCATTGACTTTAATGGGGGTGTTGGGTGGAGTTAAGTCTTTGTGTTTCCTGGAAAGCCCACATTTTTCTGAACATTTTGAAATCCTCATTTTGGCAAAATTTGGAGTTATGCCTTTGTGTCACTGAACCCTCCAAGTGTTGTTATTAGTCAACGTGTACAGTGTTGAACATTCTATGTATATAATTAATAGAAATGCAAAAGACCTACAAAAATCAATAAGATTTTGAAAATCTGGTAGATTCTATAGACCTTCTACATTGTTTTAACAATTAATAGAATCTACCAACGAAAAGAGGAACAAAAGAAAAAATTACCTTGTGCCAAAATTGTAAATAGATCTAGACTAAACAGTTGTTAATAATACTTAATAGATCTAAACATAGACCGAATTTTCCGTCTCTTTCGTTCGTTAGCCTCTTATTGGGGTAGGGTCGGCCGGCTCTCTCTTTAGAGACGGAAACCGTCTATACACATTCCCTTGATAACGCCACAGCCATTTCAGGTCGTAGCGTTTTGCCCCAAAATCCCCCAAAATGTCATTTTACCTCGTGCATATCCACATGTAAATTAGGCCTAGGCTATAATACATCGGTTCCACTTACCAACTTGACTGAAATAATCAGTTTAATAGTCCCTTTTTAGGAAATTATGGGTCAAAATCGAAATCCATTTTGAAAATCTTTTTCGACATGGATTTCGATTTTGACCCATAAATTCCTAAAAAGGGACTATTAAAGTGATTATTTCAGTAAAGTTGGTAAGTGGAACTGATTTATTATAGCCTAGGCCTAATTTACAATATAACATGCACGAGGTAAAATGACATTTTTGGGGATTTTGGGGGCAAAACGCTACGACCTGAAATGGCCGTGGCGTTATCAAGGGAATGTGTATAGACGGTTTCCGTCTCTAAAGAGCGAGCCGACCCTACCCCAATAAGAGGCTAACGAACGAAAGAGACGGAAAATTCGGTCTAGGCCTAACAGAGCTGAGTTAGACTTGACTTTTACATCTTTTGACAAAACATTCATCTGTAGACTGTTCATCTGAATAGTCCAGTGCGTGTGTAGTTGGAACTTGCATGTAGAAATATATTACATGCACAGTAGGCTATGACATTGATAGAGATATGACGGGGTCGGAATCGTCAATTATATTGTAAGGATGTTGTCTTTGATTTTGGCAAAGACTGTGAAAGAGGGCTTTGTGAAACACGTAGCGGACAAGTGAAGTAGCTTCCTAACGCTGATTTAGTCAAGAAGTTAGACTTATGTTATGACGGTTTTGAGAAACGGGACCCTGGGCAATATGGCAACAAGGCCAAGGGCAATCATGACTGACATCACAATTATTCATGTTTGTTTACATGCGATCATCGCACTCTCACTTCTCACTCAGCTCAATTCAGTCTCTGTCACTTTTGTCAGAATAAATAAAAAGTCCAGACTAAAAAAAGTTAACGTAAAAGTAAAACTACGATTTACATGATTTTATAACAATTAATTGACACGGTTAGACTTACTACTAGAGTTAGACTAGCCTACATGTACAACACTTACTGACACACAGAATTAGGCGATGGAAATCATGGAATACAGTTACGTTACCTAGGCTATAGGCTATAGCTAGCTAGTGTTCGGAATAGTTACGGGATCGGCCGGACGACACATGCACACATGCACAGAGACCGGGGGAGCGTGGGGCTGGAGCACGGTCAGCAGCATGCATCTCTAGCTCTGCCGCCAGTATTTTGAATTAGCTCGCGGCGCGCAGAATTTAAGAAACGTAGGATAGACAAACCTCTATCCGTTTTCTCACTTACTGGTACGTCGTTGTTCCTAGTCTAAAGATTCAGCCAATACGTGATTTAATATTAAATAGTGCAGCTATTGGCTGAATGACGAAGATCATTCAACGTAAAAATGTAGATTAAAATTGTGGAGTCTGGGTTTATAGACCTATTTGAATTTTGATGTGCACATCTTCGGTGATAAGAGCAGGCCTATGACATAGGCCTTTTCTTCCTGAAATGCGGTGCGACTCCATTGCATGATCACATTCCTCAACATATGAACATTCCTGAGAAACTTTTTCCAGAATCAAATGCGCCTAATAAATTGTTTCTAGGCACGGCATATATTATTACGCCGGCCATCGGATTCAGGCTTACCGGCAGGACTTATGCTCATTTTCCACTCCCTGGGGAGCATTCAACCAGCCAGTCGCCATTTTACAAGCGCTGCACTTGTAATTCCAGTACAATTTGAACTTTGTTCATGTTCCAACCCCTCCCCCCCCCCCCAGTGGCGTACCTGGGATACTCCGTCAGGGGGGGCAAGCGACCGAAACAAACAAAAAAGGCGATGCTAATTTTCACTTCTGGCGAGCGAGCGAGCGAGCAAAAAAAAATCTTTAAGTAACGTTTGGTATATAAACTGGTATTGTTGCAAGTTGGGGGTGGGAACATTCACTTGTTAGCGACGTTAATTTCATTTTTTTGCAAACTAGTGTAGCGAGCAAGAAAAAAATCACTTCTTTTTAATAATTGCCACTTAAACTTGGTTCAATTGTCCCATGCAGGGCGCGGGAACAATATTGTGTTTAGGGTGATTTTATACCCATTTTAGCTAGCGAGCGAAAATACATCTTTCTCTCAATGAATTGCTATATAAAATTTGTTTCATTGTTGCAGGTAGGGGGCGGGCACAATCGTGTTTAAGGCAATGTCAATCCCATTTTGGCGGGCAGGCAACCCCCTACATTTCTCTTTTTAATGATATTGTAGCAGGTTAGTGGTGGGCACATAATTCCACGAGCTAGCGAGCGTAGCGAGCGAAAAAAAAAATCACTTTTCTTTTATATAGGGAAAATATGGTACATAAAACTTGGGTTCATTGTTCCATGTGAGGGACGTCATTATTAAAAGCGGTGTTAATTCTATTTTGGCGAGCGAGCAAAAAAAATCACTTCTCTTTATAGGGAAAATATGGTATATAAACTTGGTTTAATTGTTCCATGTCAGGGACGTGATTATTAAAAGCGGTGTTATTTCTATTTTGGCGAGCGAGCGTAGCGAGCGAGCAAAATTTTTGTAATGATAATTGGTTCATAAATTTCAGATTTTTTTGTTGCAGGGCAGGGCTTACACAATCATGTCTAAGGTGATATTAATTCCGTTTTGGCGAGCACGAGCACACCAAAACTTCTTTGAATAACGTTTCGTACATAATTATTAACTGGTTGTTGCAGGTTGGGGCGGGCACGTTAGCGGTGTCAATTCCATTTTGGCGAGCGAGCATAGCGAGCAAGCAAAAAAAATAAATTCTCTTTTAATAGAAATTAATAAATAAACTTGTTTTTATTGGTGCAGGTCAGGATGGACGCAATTGCGTTTAACGCGATTCAATTCCTTTTTGGCGAGAGGGCGAAAAAACTCTTCCATTTTTAATGATATTGTTGCAGGTCAAGGGTGGGCACAATTGTTTCCAAAGCAATGTCTATTCATTTTATTCGCGAGCGAGTGTAGCGAGCGAGAAAAATGAATTAGTCTCTTTTAGTAACATTTGGTACATATATTGTGTGTTATTGTTGCCATGGTTGCAGGTCGGGGCCCGTCGGGGCAGGCACAATTGTATTCTAGGCAATACTAATCCTTTTCTTTTTTTCAGGGGGACGAGGAAGTGAAAACATTTAATACAAAATAGGCTAGCAAGCAGTTCGCGCCAGCGAAGAGTTTCAAATTTGTTATATCACTTATATTTTCCTATTTTCATTTGTTTTAATTTTTCAGGGCCGTATGCGGAATATTTTTCTGATGGGGGAAGGGGGAAAGATGCGTTAAATTTTTTCGAAGAATCTCAAAAGCAAAAGGAGTGAAGGGAGTTCGAGCGACCGAACTGGTCATGAGGGTACTTTTGCATTTTCAAAAGTAGAATTGAAGGATTTGGTATAGGCCTACACTTCATTTTCAGGAAAAAACTGTACGATTTCAAAATATCTGGGGTCAACTGCCCCCCCCCCTGGTGCTTACGGCCATGTTCTTTATTTGTTTTCCCCATTTTTATTCCTTTCCTTTTCTTTTCCCTTTTTCTTCCTTTTCTCTTCTTCTTCCTTTCCTTTTTTTCCTTTGTTCTCTTTCTTTCCTTTTCCTTTTTTCTTTTTCTTTCCTTTCCCTTTCTTTTCTTTTCTTTCCCCTTTTCCTTTTTTTCCCCTGGAGCCCGTCAGGGGGGCACTCTGCCCCCCTGCCCCCCATAGGTACGCCAGTGGGTGGGGGTCCAGGGGGCGGAGTCCCCTGAAGCTCAGGGGTTTTGGGCAATAAATTACGGTCAGATGAGCATATTTTGATACCTTATTTGTGACACTATAGCAAGACACAAATTGGTGTTGGGTCAAGGGTGCGGAGCCCCCGGAAGCTCAGGAGTTTTGGGCAATAAATTACGGTCAGATGAGCATATTTTGATATCTTATTTGTGACACTGGCCGGACACTTGGCGTAAGGTCCTGGGGGCCGAGACCACAGAAGCATAGGTGTTTTAAGCATAAAATTACCGTCAGATGAGCATCCAACCGTCCGCCTTAAGGCCCTAGGTGGGGTCCAGGGGGCAGAGCCCCCGGAAGCTCAGGGGTTTTAAAGCATTTAATCACGGTTAGATGAGCAACAAAAATTTGGGCCCCGGAAATTGGAAAATTACGTCATCAGATATTTCGTTCAGGGGCTTGGGGGGGGGGGGGGAACACTTTTTGTTGATTTCTTTTCAAGAGGCACTAGATCCATGTATGTAATTTAAGGGAACTCTTTGTTTACCCGATTTTGTTCTAGTGTCTATGAAAAATTGTTATTAAAAGATGCATGTGTTCATAATTTCTCTCGCAATTTAGGTTAATAATTTTGTTCAAAGTAAATAGAGGAAAAATGTATATCATTATCTTCATTTGCTATCTAAAGATTTTGCTCCTTTCGGAAAATAGCTCTTCAAATGTTTTACATGTAGAGATATAAATAAACAAAGAAATGGATGAAAATCAATAAAACAAAATCAGAATCAGGGAACGAACTGAAAATTTCGTCTCCTACATGCTGCCATAAGGACAAAACCGTCTCTCTCAATTTACTGGAAGGTATGTTTGAATCATGCAAAAAAGTTGGCATACAGGGTAAATTACCATACATGGGGGTGTAATACGGACGTGTAGTAATACTACAATTTGAGTAAATAAAACACATCCAGCGCCCACGCTTCGCGGGGAAACAGGCGCGGATCTACGGGGGGGGGGTTTAGGGGGTTTAAACCCCTCCCTTGGGCGGCCCAAAAAACAAACCAAAAAAAGGGGGGGAAAGGAAAAAAAAAAAAAAAGAAAGAAAAAAGAACGCACGCTGGAGAGAAACCCTTTCAAGTGCAAATATTGTGAGAAGATATTCAACTCATCTGGTAACTTAACCAAACACATGATAACTCTGGATCAGTGGCGTACCTGGGGTACTCCGTCAGGGGGGGCAAGCGACCGAAACAAACAAAAAAGGCGATGCTAATTTTCACTTCTGGCGAGCGAGCGAGCGAGCAAAAAAAAATCTTTAAGTAACGTTTGGTATATAAACTGGTATTGTTGCAAGTTGGGGGTGGGAACATTCACTTGTTAGCGACGTTAATTTCATTTTTTTTGCAAACTAGTGTAGCGAGCAAGAAAAAAAATCACTTCTTTTTTAATAATTGCCACTTAAACTTGGTTCAATTGTCCCATGCAGGGCGCGGGAACAATATTGTGTTAAGGGTGATGTTATACCCATTTTAGCTAGCGAGCGAAAATACACCTTTCTCTCAATGAATTGCTATATAAAATTTGTTTCATTGTTGCAGGTAGGGGGCGGGCACAATCGTGTTTAAGGCAATGTCAATCCCATTTTGGCGGGCAGGCAACCCCCTACATTTCTCTTTTTAATGATATTGCAGCAGGTTAGTGGTGGGCACATAATTCCACGAGCTAGCGAGCGTAGCGAGCGAAAAAAAAATCACTTTCCTTTTATAGGGAAAATATGGTACATAAAATTGGGTTCATTGTTCCATGTCAGGGACGTGATTATTAAAAGCGGTGTTAATTCTATTTTGGCGAGCGAGCGTAGCGAGCGAGCAAAAAAAAATCACTTCTCTTTATAGGGAAAATATGGTATATAAACTTGGTTTAATTGTTCCATGTCAGGGACGTGATTATTAAAAGCGGTGTTATTTCTATTTTGGCGAGCGAGCGTAGCGAGCGAGCAAAATTTTTGTAATAATAATTGGTTCATAAATTTCAGATTTTTTTGTTGCAGGGCAGGGCTTACACAATCATGTCTAAGGTGATGTTAATTCCGTTTTGGCGAGCACGAGCACACCAAAACTTCTTTGAATAACGTTTCGTACATAATTGTTAACTGGTTGTTGCAGGTTGGGGCGGGCACGTTAGCGGTGTCAATTCCATTTTGGCGAGCGAGCATAGCGAGCAAGCAAAAAAAAAAAATTCTCTTTTAATAGAAATTAATAAATAAACTTGTTTTTATTGGTGCAGGTCAGGATGGACGCAATCGCGTTTAACGCGATTCAATTCCTTTTTGGCGAGAGGGCGAAAAAACTCTTCCATTTTTAATGATATTGTTGCAGGTCAAGGGTGGGCACAATTGTTTCCAAAGCAATGTCTATTCATTTTATTCGCGAGCGAGTGTAGCGAGCGAGAAAAATGAATTAGTCTCTTTTAGTAACATTTGGTACATATATTGTGTGTTATTGTTGCCATGGTTGCAGGTCGGGGCCCGTCGGGGCAGGCACAATTGTATTCTAGGCAATACTAATCCTTTTCTTTTTTCAGGGGGACGAGGAAGTGAAAACATTTAATACAAAATAGGCTAGCAAGCAGTTCGCGCCAGCGAAGAGTTTCAAATTTGTTATATCACTTATATTTTCCTATTTTTATTTGTTTTAATTTTTCAGGGCCGTATGCGGAATATTTTTCTGATGGGGGAAGGGGGAAAGATGCGTTAAAAGTTTTCGAAGAATCTCAAAAGCAAAAAGAGTGAAGGGAGTTCGAGCGACCGAACTGGTCATGAGGGTACTTTTGCATTTTCAAAAGTAGAATTGAAGGATTTGGTATAGGCCTACACTACATTTTCAGGAAAAAAAACTGTACGATTTCAAAATATCTGGGGTCAACTGCCCCCCCCCCCCCTGGTGCTTACGGCCATGTTCTTTATTTTTTCCCCCATTTTTATTCCTTTCCTTTTCTTTTCCCTTTTTCTTCCTTTTCTCTTCTTCTTCCTTTTTTCTTTCCTTTTTTTCCTTTTTTCTCTTTCTTTCCTTTTTTCTTTCCTTTTCCTTTTTTTCTTTTTCTTTCCTTCCCTTTCTTTTCTTTTCTTTCCCCTTTTTCTTTTTTTCCCCTGGAGCCCGTCAGGGGGGCACTCTGCCCCCCCTGCCCCCCCCATAGGTACGCCAGTGCCCCCCCCCCCCGAAAAGTAAGAGGTATATGGATTGACTAAAGATAATCGCGTAAAGCAAACGTAACCAGCTTTGCTCATGCAGTAGACCATTTTGAAAGAGGTAACTAAAAACATGGACCTTAGTCAGTCAAGTGCTAAAAACCACTGAAAATCGAATTTGAAACCAGAATATGACGATTGATTTTCGGGAAAACTGTTGCTATGAATAATCAGAACGAACATTTAAAAACAAATTAAATGGGTTCTTTTGTTACTTTTAAGTTTTATTTTCACTTTTTTTTATTTCACTTATCATCAATATTCAGTTATCGTCCGCTACTTAAATTTGAAAATAAGAGTAAGTTCTGACACCTTGCCGCTGCCCGAATACAATATTCAGGCACCCAAATATAAGGATACACGGGCATCACGATGTCCGTATATGAGATGATAGTTGTCTGAAAGTTATTACTCTAAAAAAAAATCCCCTGGGAGCCCCAAGCACATCCTGCGACCTCTAACGCCAATACAGAACAGTGGATTTGCAAAATTTTGAAATAAGCAGCATTTTGTTTTTAGTTGTTCTTCAAATAGGATGCAAAATATTGAACTCTCTAGAGGAACTACTCAAAGAATTAAGCCAAGCAACAGGATGTACTATTTCTTTCAAATGCTTAACTTCCCATTTTGGTTTTTTTGTTTTGTTTACACTAATAATAATAATAATAATAATAATAATAATAATAATAATAATAATAATAATAATAATAATAATAATAATAATAATAATAATAATAATGATAATAATAATAATAATAATAATAGCCTAATAGTCCACTCCAAATTTTATTAAACCGAAACGGAAATTCTTTTTGCCCAATTGATCGTGAGCCCGGCAGCCACTAAGCAGCGCCACTGCACTGCATTATAGTCCGTCTAAAAATGTTTTTGTATAAGCTAAATATGGGCATACATGTATTTATATTGGGGTGTGAAATTACGAAAACCTAAAACTACACACTCGAGGGAGCCAAACCATTAGAAATATGTATTTCTAATACAAATTTACATTTCAGAATGAGGATCCCCCTTCCTCCGTTTCCCTTTAAATTTGCAATTTTTTCCTCCCCCCCCCCCCCCCCCCCCCTCTTTTGCGTTTTTGCGCCCCTCTATCCTCCTTTGGATAACTATATCTATATCCATCTAGAGTTTTTCGAGACGAGCTCCCCCGATTTGGTCAAACTTTAATGTAGGGTCTGCATTATGAGACTAATGTCTGGCCTTATCCATCCTATGGTTAGATTATCCGGGTCTGTGCGTACGTACGTGTGCGCTGCGCGTGAGAGCTGATCTAAGAAAAACGAACACATCCAAAATATGGCCGCGAAGATTCAAACGTCAACCCAATCGACATCAAGCTGAATAATGTGAAATTTGGTGTTGGATTTCTCCATGACTAACGAAGATTGAAATCAAAATAATGTCGGCATTTAAGAAGAAGAATGTAAGTATTTTATTTAAGTTCATATGGATACATTTTTCATTTCATGACCGTTCTGTAATCGCAGTCTTATTTTTACTGCATTGTCAATAACTGAATAACTAACAACTAAAGCTGCATGAAGTTCAGCGGGGTCTGATACCTCTCCATGCCCGGACTCCGGGGGAGAGTGCTCGGCGGGACACTCATGTCTGCCTTTTTTTTCCTGTGTGCACTTTTTTCATTGTGAGAGAAGAATCGGTGTGATTGTGATGTTTGTTGTTGAGATCCTGATCTAAACTGATACTATAGATCCGGCGCTTATTCAGAATCATATTCATACTTTTGTAGAATTAAGTTAGTCTAGACGAAGTGTGTGTGGATTAGGGAACCCTTGGAGTCTGTGTCAGCTGCCAAATACCTTGGCATTACTCTCACTGCTGACCTCAACTGGACACAGCATGTATCTGCCACTTGCAAGAAGGCAAACAACACCCTAGCCTTTCTTAGAAGGAACCTGCGTGTCAACTCCACTCGGCTCAAGACTACTGCATACCAGGCTCTCGTTCGCCCTCTTCTTGTGCTGTCTGGGATCCACACACCATCAGATGTGTAAACCAGTTGGAGATAGTCCAGAGACAAGCAGCGAGATATGTTCTCAACCGCTATCATCATACATCTAGCGTCTCTGACATGCTGAGTCAACTTGGATGGACTTCCCTCCAGAAGAGAAGAGAGCATCAACGTCTCACCTTACTGTACAAGATGCACTACTCTTTGGTTGACTTTGACATCCACCACTATACATCCAACCGGCAACAGTCGTAAGAACTACAAGATCGTTTCGTCCTTACTGTTATCGTGTCATGCAGTCACGAACAGAGCAACATATTCACTCCTTCTTTCCTCGCACTGTTCGACAGTGGAACGCTCTCCCCCTTGAGGTTGTCCTGGCTCCATCAGTGGAAGCCTTCCAGCGACAACTAAAGACCGGGGGGAAGTAAATTCCGGCAATGTTTTTTACTGGCACTATGTATATATACACCTCTCACCTGCACACCTGGACATCCCCATGTCGCCACACACATGCACTCGCACACATCTGCAAGAATCTTCAGCAGTGAAGGAGGCAGATTATTTTGAAGAAGAGGAACCCAAAACCCGGACCCGGCCCGACCCGGCAATTTTCCAAATTTCTTAACGAGACCCGGAAAGGTCCGGTAACCCGGTGAGAGTTGGACTGAAATAATATTGACTAGATTCTATTTGAAAGCTACTACAAACACATCTTGTGTGATCTACCGACCTTGTCCTGAATGGAGGGCACATCACTTCATTTTGTTTATCATGCTGTCTGTGAGTCCAGACATAAGTCCCAGGTCAGCATAAATTATCACCCTTAATCCACTCCCTAAAAAGATGAAGCATAAGGCTAGCTACATGTATGTAGGCATCCTAAAAATAGCTCATTTCCCTGTCATAGTGCCCATACAACATGCTCTACTATGATTGGTCTGTTTGTCTGCCAATTAAAAACAATAATCACATGTAAGGCACATGATATAGCTTAACCGATATTTGCATATTTTTGGGGATGTGCGCATAGCAGGACAAAGGCTGCTTGTTGATCCTTTGAACCTTTGAACCCTGTTCAAAGAATCCGCGGTGTAATGTTACACCCAGTTGGGCCCAAGCTGTCTGGCATGCATTATTCTTGACAGGGAATGTTTTGTATTCTAAATTTCTGTGACATGATAGTGAAAGAGATATATCAGATGTGAATGAATTTGGGGGGGGGGGGATCGAGAGACACAATGAAAGAAACTTAAGAAAGAAAAGAAAACATGAGAAAAACTACATTACGTAAATAATTCTGTACTTTTATTTTTTTTTTAAGAAAGAAGATCAAATTGATTTGAGGGGGGAAAAGGTTTAAAACACATTCGGAAGATGAATAAATAGAATTGAAAAAAGGTAAAGATTGAAGGAAGAATGATGATGAAGATAACTTTTTCCTTCTCATCTCTAAAGACTATTAACATTTCACAAACTTATCTTTTTTTCTTCTAATCTGGGCTAAATCTTTTTGATCAATTTTGGTCAAGAATTAAGGCAGAGAGATGGACCCCAATAATTATCTTGTTTGCTAATTAAATCCGTTTGTCAGGAAGTATTTTGGTGATGGAATTACTCTTTAATTTAACTCTCTGTCGACTTCATCTCAGCTCAGCCTCCACCTCGGGCATAACAAATTTTCACATACACACTCTCAAACACATTATGTAAATTTGCCATTCACTCGTCTATCAGCTAGGTCAACAAACTTCATAATTTATGAATCGTCTGTTCTACTGTAACTGTGCCAGCAATCACTGAACTTTAATTTATGCTGGTTTCACTCTCCGCCCACTCGGGGGAAACTTTCTGATTGGTCAGTACAGTAAGCTGATCAGTCACATCACTTGCAGGCAGGGCCAGGGCTAGGGAGATACAAATACACACTTGACCACACAACACAAAATCTATGTGTGCTGTGTCTATTGTAAAGACAGCTCAACAGATGTAAAAGATCGAGCCATCATGCTGTGTTTGTTTACAGTTACTTTTGACGGTTTTATTGTGATGAAAGATAAGTAGATAACGAACAATGAGCTATTTAAAAACTCTTTTTTACTGCCGGGTTTTGTTACCGAGTTGATCTAATTCTGGCTACAGTTCAGCCCGGAACTGGTCCGGCCCGAAATGCTCAACCCGGCGGGTTGGAACCCGGTAACGGTAAGCCTTCCGGGCTACAGCACTAGTGTGGATGATCATTTGTGAACGGAGCTAGATTGGAAATTGTGTTCACTGATCAGTGATCATTCATAGTCATACAACATTAACTGTCATTACTCTATTTTTCTCTTACTTACGAGGAAGCAAGGAAGTTCAAATAATGGTCATGATTTCAAAGTCGATATGTTTCTTACCTGTTGCTGTTTTGTGTCAAGTTTCCTATCTTTTTTTAAGTAGACCTATGTTCCCCAAAACGAAGACACAATAATATACACTTTCTCACAGGTTTCACAGCAAATCGCAGCAGTTTGCCGTGAATCCTGTGAGAAAGTTTATATTACAAGTCTTCGTTCTTAGGAAAAATACTCCAGAAAAGATAAGAAAATTTACATGAAACAGGTATTGAGGTAAAAAACATAATGATTTTAAATCATGACCATTATTCGAACAATTGATGAAGATTTAGTTGATTTTTGGTATGTTTTAGTAATACGATAGCCAATCAGAAGGGCCAATTTAGGAAAATGAGGCTGAGGCCTGATAAGTTCTACGTGCCGCACACAATTAGTAACAGTATTTACTATACAATGAGATCAGCAATCACACACAAACTGCATTGCATAAATTTCCCTCACTAACCTGTACAACACAATTTGGTCTCTGTACAGAGGCAGTCAGTGGAGTTAGATGTACAGCAGAACAGATTTCACGAAACCGTCATGAGTATATTTTCGCCGACAACCCAATTAGGCCATTGATTGAGTGTTAAGACGCGTGTATTGAATGTAATAACACAAGTGTTTCAATGCCACAATGGGATGTCGGTGAGCTTGTACTAATGACGGTTTCATAAAACAATGCCATGGTCTCCTATAAAGTCCCATATTGGCTGTGCCTCTCTTCTAATCTTAAACTATGAGTTTATGAGTTGGAACTTTTGACCTACTGAAGAAGTGTGGTGTGAACAATCGAATTGTTTAAACAAATGTAAGTTGGACTAGTAACAAATTGGCTCTCTGATCTGCCTACATGTACATCTTGTAAAAAAAAAATTTCATAGTGCTCCAGAGTTCCAGAATTTATTCTCATCTTTGGTTTGATTTATCTTAGATTTCAGTTCCAGAAACATACTGTCCTATACATGGCTTTAAAACATTTGTCCAGACATACACTTAGACTTTGTTGATACTTATATAATTTGTTAAATCATTATACTGTCAGTATGTCAAATATTACTAATTTGTCTAATTTCTTGTTTTCACAGGTTTTTGTCAACCCTTTCTACCAAGACGGTGTCGGCAGGTAAATATACTAATAACAGGAGCATCGCAATTATGAAGTGTAAAATTATATTTATAATTATTGTATAGTTGTAAAAGTTTGATTTCCCCAAAATGATTTGTGTGTACTGCATTGTTAGTATTTCACCTGCTATCTTATATTAATTTTACTTACCGTATGGTTTTTGTCCTAAACTTGTTCTGTTGTTCAGTTCCCAATCATTCCAAACCTTAATGTTTGTATCAGGCCTGGTTTGTATAATTTGTAACTGCACTTTCTAGCGTTCTATACTATGTACATGTAACTGTATGACTCAACAACTGCAGGCTTTCTCTTGAAATTGCTATGGAAAAGAAGGAAATAAATTTTTATTATAAACAGTCATGTGATGGCTCAGTGTTAGGGCAGTGGTCTCATTACCGGGAGGTCCTGGATTCCAAACCAGGTTGATGCAGTCGTGCCCTTTTGTAAGGCGTTAATCCTCATTACTAAGTTAAAGTCCCCCAGAGAGGACTTAAAGTCGTCAGTCCCCTTGCTTGCATACAAGGATATACATGTACATGCTTTCTTAACAGTAGGGTAAAAACAAACCATCATACAACTTCAAAATCGTCTTTGGTATTAATGAGAGTGTTAAACAATCTTTGTTCTTGATACAGGCGGACTGGCATTGTAGTGAAAAAAGATGTGAGGAAAGACAGCGATGGCTTTGAAGTCTTTGATGACTACTGGTCAGAGAGCGGTAAGTATGCACCTCATGTTCCGAGCAATTCCTAAACACAATTTATTTCTCGCGAACCCTAAATGTCAGTTCTTTTTATTCCAATCACATTGCATCATTAGATATATCGGTAGGCTACAAAATTGATAACAATTTTTTTTTTTAATGCAAAGCCAATTCTCCTCCCCATGAAAAACTAGTGCCCAAATTGCATGGGGACCATATTAAGATGGAACTCTCTGCTCAATATTTAAAGAAAATTGACAGAGTTTTCTTAGAGATCTATATAAGCATTGTTATGATTTAATATGAAATAATACAAATTTAGATTCATGTATGAGGTATTTTACAGGCAGTAGTGTATTCCATTCATATTAGACGTGCTGCAAGCAGTTTCAGTAAATAAATCAGTGCAAAACAAGATGGCACAGGAAGCGTATTAACCATGCTACATTATCTCAGTAGTACTAACTTAACAGGAAATTATATGATGAAAAATGAATAATATAATTTCTTGTGACGGTTGTATTACTTAGTAGTACATTTCTGTGTATTCATTACTCATGAAAGATTTTTTTATCCATTTTCTGCAGAGAATGATGCTACCATGCACACTACATTAGCAGCAGAGAAGGAAAATAAAGACGGTACTATGAAAAAGGTAATTATTTTGTAAAACTGTTGTTTTGGTTGAGGCGTGGAAGTATTGTCCATTTTCTTATCATAAAAATTGCCCATTTTGTACCGTTTTTGTGAGAAATTAAATGAATATATCGAAGCATAGTAACAAAACAGACAGACCAAACATTCTTTGTCTTGCTCTCATCTTAGCTGAAGCTAAAGGAACGAATCTTGTAAAAAATGAAAATGCTCTTTGATTCATTGCAAGGAAAGTATAGGTAAAGCAAGACATTAAATGACAACAGGCTGTAGCAGTGCTATCTAGAATGACATAAGAGTCCTCACAGTATAGGGTCAGTGAGCTCAATGTAAGTTGTGCTTCGATTTTGAAATAAATATATGTCATATGGAACACTTTCAGCACTATAATCTCACTTTAACTAAATGAGCAGTACTCAAAACAGTGATGCTGTCCTTAGAACATAGAAAATATCTCTGAAGTAAGGATGTACATTGTAAGTAAGTCTAGTTGTTGACTTCTTGTCGACATACACAATGAATGACCAAGGGTCTGATATTGATATAAAATCTGATCAATACTTCTGTTGGAAAAAAAAAAGTTATGCACAGATAATGGCTTGCAATGATTATATAAAAACTCCAATGAATACTCAGCAACAGTGAGCATTACCTAGCACTTTGTTTTTAACTTGCAGCGATCGCTGAGGTCTATGCCATCGTTCACCCCTCAAGAAGCCAGCTCAGATCGAGAGGCAAGCAAGGTTGAACTGCCACAGGACGTCTCACAAGCTGCAGAGAATGCTTCAGCCCTTGAGGCTGATATCACTGGCAGCATCATCAAGGGACGAGCCCCCAGCCTGGAACCCTCGTCAGCCTTGAGTAAATTCAAGACCAGGCAGAGGTAGGTCCCACATGGTTTTGACCAGGGACCCGTGTCACAAAGCCTTTTTCCAATGACAAATAGCAAAATTCAGTGACAAATCTGCTGATAACCAATCAGAAGCAAAGATTTCAGTAGCTTATAACAAAGACTGTCATTTGTCACTGATGACAAGTTTTGTGAAACAGGTCCCAGAGGTTCTCTTTGGACCAAGTCTTGCAAAATTTGCCATTGTTGGATGAGGAGAGGCAATGACTAAAAACCCTGGGATGTTCTCTGTCTAGAATGCGTAACGCATGACTAGTCTACAGTCTAAGTGGAAAAAGACCCAGCACTAGAAGGACCATTTCAGTTATATACATGTAGACACATGTCGTTTCTATTTTTTATGAAACCTCTACCAAGTGCAAATCAACTGACAAACACAAAAACAAAACTTTCCCTTTCTTCTAATGCAAGTGAAATGAGTTTCAACATACAAGTTTCAACATACGAGTTTCAACATAAGAAGTGATAAGTGAAACCGCACCAAAATCTTCAACTATAGGTTCTCATTCTTTTCATAAATTTAGTGATCAGGCAATATTATGTTATTCACCATTTTCTTTTCTCAGCGTAGAAGTATATATTCAAAAGCAATTTCATTTCGTACATTATACATTGTAGGCTAAGTTTTTCAGAGGCCACCACTTCCGAAGAGAGCCAAACCAGTGAAGGGGAGAACAGTGTCGGGGATGAAGGAGAGAGCCAAGAGAGTGGATCATCTTCAGAAGGAACTGTCAAAGCACCTTCCAGCCAGTCGGAACTCAGTCAAGAAGAAGGGGATGAACAGACAGAGACTGAAGAGGATGATGCGAGCGGGCCTGTCGAACAGTGAGTATTGGGAATATTTGGAATTCAATCCAGAGCTTCAGCAGAACATTAATTCTATGAAGAAAAAATGAGATCTGCCCCCTACCCCTTTACGTTTAGTGTAATCTGCTTTTGACTTAAGATTAAAGGGGGAATTAGATATAGAAAATAAGGAATATAAAATAATAAGAAAGTATTAGGAATTCTAAAATCATAAATACCATCATAACTAGTGGAGAATTTTAAGGAACTCATTCCACTGCCACCACCCATAAAAATATATTTGTTACCTGTGGCAGGGTGACTGCTCCTCAGAGCTATCAACCCATCACAACTAACTCTAATTAAAGGACCAATTACCATCTGTCCTTTTAAAATTTACCCTCCAACAACTATATAGGGAGTAATTAGGGCTTCCATGTTCATGGGATAGTTGCCAGAGGCTAGTTAACCCTTTTGAAACAGGACTTTTTTTTTAAAGAGGTAAATTAATCATATCTCACTTTTAAAATGTATTTTTCTTGTCTTACTTCATTTTTGTAATATTTCTGTAAAAAAAGTACATGGGTAGGACCCTGATTGACAAACAATGATTTTGAAGCTCCCTTTGTATTGCCAATTTAAAGATTTTTGGAGCTTATTTCCTTTTTGAAATTCCTATGAGACATAAATTTGATGAAGTCTGTAGAGAGACATTTTTGCCCTTTCTTATCGTACACCTGGGGGGTGTTTCACAAAGATTCAAAGTCGAACTTAACTCTAAGTTGGACTTAAATATTATATATTCAAAAGCAAAAATTGAAGTATTTTAGACTTTTAATGAAATAAACATCAAGAGCATGTAATCTCCTATGATAATATAAAATATGAATGATTTGAATCAACATTTAATGCCTTTTAAAATAACTTTTACAAAATATTTTCAAGGATGCTAATGGCTTTCCATAACTATTAAGTCCAACTTAGAGATAAGTTCAACTTAGGATCTTTGTGAAACACCCCCCTGGTATATTTTTGTAGGGCTCTGAATCAAAAGTAATCGAACCAAAATGCGGAAGGATTATCATGAAAGGTTTAGGGGATAGTTTTTTTTAGAGGTGATAGTCAATTGGGCAGTTGTCCCAGAATCTTGTAACCCCTTAAGCTCATAGATTTATTATTCATCACATGTTAACAAATTAAGATAATGCCTTTGAAATCATGTTTAGGATTTTAGATTAATTACAGCATAGACATGGTTTAGGATCAGAGGTGTCAGTGAATAAGTTTTGTAATTTCATTATCTTTTTCCTTATTGCAGTGATGACCAGCAGAGTAGCCGGACAACCAGTGAACCATCATCACCTCAAGAAGAGGTACCTGAGCCTCAGGCAAAAGCCACTTCACCAAGCGACGAGGGTACTACTGCACAGACCAGAGGGAGCAAGAGGCGATCAACCCGGCCTGATGGTGACCTAAGTGGCCCAGTTCCAAGGGAGACGAGAAGCAGAAAGAGTATTTCTCAGTCAAAGAACATTGTAGAAAATGAAGAAATAGATGAAAGGGAAGCAGAGAAAGCAGTAGAAACAAGAGGCAGGAGAAGCACTCGACAATCAAATGCGAGTGTGCTAAATGAAAATGAGCTTCAGAAGGATAACGAGAAGTCAGCAAAGAAAGGTGCTGATACAAGACGTAGGAAAAGTACTCGACAGTCAAAAGCGAATGAAGGAAAAGTTGATAAAGATGCCGTGAATGACAAAGAGATTGACACAAATATTAAAAACAGTTCCAGACGGAGCAGAAGTATAAAGCCTTCAAACGTGAGCGTAAATAAAGGAAATGATATTGAAATAGATTTAGAGAAACAAGAAGAGAAAGCTGGAGGTACGAGACGCAGGAAAAGTACTCGTCAGTCAAAAGCTAATGATGCCGTGGATGACATAGAGATTGACACAAATACGCAAAACGGTTCCAGACGAAGCAGAAGTTTAAAACCTTCAAACATGAGCATAAATAAAGGAAGTGATACTGAGATGGAGTTAGAGAAGCAGGAAGAGAGAGCTGGAGGTACAAGACGCAGCAAAAGTACTCGTCAGTCAAACGTATCAATAAAAGACGTGCAAGAAGACATAGTCGGAGATAAGGAAACAGATGATGTAACATCAAATCTCAGAAAGAGTCCTCATCAGTCAAGCAGATTAGAAAGGGAGATCAAGAGAATCCACGATAGAAGTATCCGTCGCTCAAAGGGAGTGGAAGATCTTAAAGACGATGTCGAGAAAGAAACACAAGTGGTCAAGTCGAGACGTAAAAGTAAACAGCAATCAAATGCCCCTCCTGGAAAAGAGGTTGAAGAAGAGAAGGGTGAAGAAGAGGAGGATGAAGGAACGGAAGATGAGGTAGCTCCAGAGACAGATGCAGAAACTGCTGGAGAGACAGAAGGAGAGAAGGTTGAAGGAACCAAGGAAGAGGAAGTTTTAGAGACAGAAACAGAAAGTGAGTTTGTTACAGAAACAGAAGAAGAAGAAGGAGAAAGAAATATTGAAGAACCAGAATCAGAGGAGGCAGTGGACACAGAAGTAGATGAAATAAAAAAGACAGAAGAGGAGAACTTTAGAAAGGCAATTAAGCAAAAGGAAAAAACTGTTGTGGCATCAAAATCTGATGTTGTTGAAGATGAAGATGATGACACTGAGAAAGTCTTCTTTTCTTTAAGAGCAAGTTTTGCAGTTCCATCAGTTCATGAAGTGGAAGATGAATTTGAATTTGCTGATGCCGATTCGCAAGAATATGGCCTATTGGATGACACACAGAAAGGAAATCGCAAAAAAGCAGGGAGAACAAATAGAAAAACCATTGCAAAAGGAGGCAAGAAAAATGATAAGGAAGTGGTACAAAAAGAAAAACCAGAAAAGTTACCGAAATCCACAAGGAGACCGACCCAGAAGGATAAACAAGAGAGCAAAATGGGGAAAGGACAGAAGAAAAAGGCAAGTAAAAGAGGATCGGAAATCGGCAGGGATGACGATCAAAAGAAATTAAAGGAAAGTCCTAACGAGAGTTTAAGTGGAGATGGGCATGACTCCAAACTAGCAATGGGAGGCAAGAAGAGCAGAGGAAAGAAGTCTAACCAACAGAAAAAACAATTACAGAGGAGCCAAAGGTCTTCTGAGAGCACATCCCAGGCTAGCTCTTCTGATGCAGATGCTGACTCACAGGTTGATGACGACCAAGCTGCTGCTGTGGATCTTCCACAAAAGAATCAGAGAAAACGACGACAAAAGAAACCCTCCAATCAGAAGGCTAGCTCTTCTGATGCAGATGCTGGCTCACAGGTTGATGATGACCAAGCTGCTGCTGTGGATCTTCCACAAAAGAAGCAGAGAAAGCAGCGACAAAAGAAATCCTCCGATCATCCTGCAGAGGTCAGCAACAGTTCTAAGACAGCCAGTGATGAAACCCTAGGGGTCGATGAGGATGGACCCTCGACAGGCAAGGCTGGTTCTAGCTCCAGTGCGTTCAGGTCGCGTCGAAGCAGTGTCCACTTTACCACCAAGGACATGATCTCTGTCGGTGGAGACATTAGCATCCATCAAGTCTCAAGCGCTGAGGACAAATCTTCAGACAACAAGGACGCTCCACCTACTACAGCTACTCTCTCAAAGGACCACAAGAAGTCCAGGAGATCGTCTAAGGGGAGATCAAGTGGCGGTGGTGCCAAGACGCGGGACAAGGCGAATGAGGACGACACCAAAAACGTGGAAGAACATCTGAGTGGTCAGTCATCGCATGAAAGCACAGCAGAGAGTGATCGAGAGACAGCTGATCAAGGGCAAAGTAGAAGAGGAAGGAAGAAGGGAGCCAAGGCCAAGAAACCGTCAAAGCGACCATCTTCGAAGGCAACCTCCACAACCTCTGAAGATTCTCGTAAGTCTTTGCATGGTGAAACAAAAACAAATATTTGATTTTTTTGTGGGCCACTTTTTAACTTTACTAGTTTTTACCAGGAAATGGTTTACTTTATGTTATTGAATAAAGTGTAGAAGGGAAGATTGAAAGCTACACTATTGAAGTCTGGTTATGAACTTTGATGTGGGAAGAATTTGCTTTGAATTAACCTTGAAATTTGATCATACAGTAGATGAAAAATAGAAGTTTGTGTAGGATAGCTACACTGAAACAGAACTTTCATCAGATCCTTGAACTTTCTATTGAAAGAAATTGTAAGGGTAGTAGCCCACTGAGGGTGGGGAAAGCCTGATCACCAGGATGTTGATGTCATTGAAAAAAAAAAGCATCAAACTATACAAGTGGTGTTGGGTATAAAGAGGATTATTGTTTATAGAAACTAGACTTGAACAGGAACCAATAGGGCACACTGTGTGAAGAGAATTGTTCTCATTAAAAGGAGAATGGCCTGTGAAACACAAAAGGGTAGGATCAGGGATTATCTGTCTACTGTCACATGGACTTTCTAATTGTTTAACAATTATCCTCCTACCCCTCATAACAGTTATCAGACATCTACAACATGGCGATTGTCAAAATAGCATCCTTTAGCAATCAATAACAAAGTGACAGCTAGCTTCAGTCTACCTGTACATGTCTGGGGAAGGCATTTGACCTTTGACTTTGAAACTGTCAATCGAGTACCGGTAGATAATTTTTGGATGTGCAATTAACTCATTTCTAATGATGAATGACCTAATTTTTACAACGATTTCCTTCTTATAGTCAAAACTGATGAGGAAGATGGGGTCAGACGGACGAAACGTCACAGAGCGCCCCCTCGAGAGTACTGGCACGACAGCATCGAACATAGTAAGTCATTATTGTCTATTGAAACTAGACTTGAACCTGACACAATGGGGAACAGTAAGTGAGGAGGATCGTTCTCATTTAAGGAGAGTGGCCTGTGAAACTTGAGTGGGATCTAGGATCATCAGCATTCTTCTGTCACATAGACTTATTATTGATTTTGTAACTAAGCATCAATGAATCCTCCCTCTTTCAAACTCAATGTAATTTAGAACAATCAATGTTGTTCCCCTTTAGTGATTTTGTTCTTACCATGTTCTTACATGTTAATCTCTATGTACAGACTGCTCAAGGAAGGTGAGAAAAGCTCTCTTTATTGGCAGGTAGTTATCTGTAAAGATTAATTAACAGGATAGATTTGGAATTCAAAACTCTTGGTTATAGACAGTGGTCCTTGTATACATGTTATTAGTACAGCAGTCTTCAATGTTTATTTTTATAATCTTTTGCTTACAGCTGAGGATCATACTGATACTACCCAAGTCTTGGTTGCTCACCATGATGCAAACCAAAATCAATCCGACCAGTCCATTGACCAGTCCACTGACCAGCCCACTGACCAGTCCCCCAAGGGTCCAACCCCCCCTGGCAAGTCCCCAAGCACGTCCAGCGGTGGAGCAAGGTCAATAACGTCCACAGGGTCTATCCTGAAAGTCAGCAGGAACTGGGATAAGAGACCCAAGAACAAGAAGAATAAATATTCCATCCTCTACACAGAGAAGCCACTCCGGAAGGCTTATATCAGTAAGTGTTTAATCGTATCCAAAAACAAACACTGTAGCTTCTTTCACAAGGTTTATTCTTTGGAACAACCGAACACTTTCAAATTTAAAAATGTTTATAAAACTTTTTTTTTTAACCCAATGCATACAAATTATCATTCACGCTGCATACACTGTAGCTCAAAGCTAGTAAGCAATGGGCTAGGAATACACCATCGCTATTGTTGTAATATCCACACATTTTGTTATCCTTTTTTCAACTAAAGAAAACTGGCAGCTAGCTTCAGGCTACCAGTACATGTCTCAGGAAAATATGGCCTTAGACGGGGAAATCATTTTTGAATGTTACATTAACTAGGGATGCCAGTTTTCAGGCAATAGCCTGAATTCAGGCCCATGTGAGTTATTTTCAGACCATACTTAAGGCTTTTTGTGTATAAAAAGCTCATTCTAGGTAATTTTTAGGCCCTTCTGATCAATTCTAACTGGCATCCCTGATTTACTTATTTCCAATGATAAATGACCTAATTTTGACATCGATTTCCTTCCTATAGTCAAACCTGATGAGGAAGATGGAGTCAGACGGACGAGACGACAGAGAGTGCGCCCTCTAGAGTACTGGCGTAACGAACGTCCACTCTACGAACGTCGGAAGTCAGGGGGGCTTGCTCTGGCTGGTATCATCTCTCCCGGAGCACCAGAGGAGAGAGTGTCTGTGAGGTCTATGAGGCAACCAGCTAAACGTAAGTGTTACTAGGAAGGAGACTTGTGTAGTCCTTTGCAAGGGTTCACTGTTAAAAGTTAAACCTGTCTTTGTGGTCACCTTTCTGTAATATATATCTCTCTGCAGTGTTAATTTACCAGTATATTGTTTCTCTAAAAGATGGAATACATGCTGTAGAACAGGGAAAAAAATGAAATAAAATAAAGATTTAAATGTTAAACATTTAATGAAAGTTGCAGTATTTTAAGGGGGAGGGGGGTCAATTTATCACCTCTCTTTAAGACCAGTAAAGTCTGCCAACCCACCATCAATGTAGTCTACCCTGATACCAAATATGGATGATATAACATGAATCTTAAAGGCATCGTTTAACAATGTTAAATCTGAGATTAATGGCCCCTTAGGAAAACTCAAAATTTGATTTTGATTTTGATTTTCATCTTGATAATCAGACAGACGATCGGCTTGTAAAATTCATGGGGTTCCTGACTGACCTAAAGGTTAACAATTATCATTGCACAATGAGCTAAATCCAGGATTTTGTTCAGAATCTGAGAAAAAGTTACCCAATCCCTTTAAATATTTTATTTTCAGCCAAAGGTCACCTGCCAGTGACGCCCTCTCACATCTCAATCCATGCGTCACCTCCCGTAGGGACCAGTAAAGTCTGCCAACCCACCATCAATGTAGTCAACCCTGACACCAAGCAAGAAGTCGCTATTGGTGAGTATACAAATAATACACAGTATTGAGGGCATTAGTAAGAATTACCCACACGAGGTACCTTTGGAACAGTCTAACTTGAAGGTACCGAGTGTGGGTAATTTTACTAATTCCCAAACAAAATGCTGTTTATTATTTGTTTTATAAGATTATGTTTTATTTGTTTTATAAAATGATGTTTTATAACATGATTTTGATAATGACCGGTCATTATTCAAATTACGCATTAGGCAAAATAAATGCCTGGTCACGTGTATGCTCTCAACCAATCATTTGATTAGGATCCATGTCATCATCTTACAATTCTTCATATTTCAGTAGTGTTGTAAATTTCCAAGTTTGATTAAAGATGCTCCATCTTATAAAGAGTTGATATCAATTGCAACTATGTACATAAAAGATAGGAGACTGCAATCTTGCAATTGATTGGAGGACTTGCAACTCTTTGTAAGATAGGGCCCAGGGTGGTGTTTCACAAAGACTAACATAGGCTTTAAGTTGGACTTAACTATGGCAGGCCGTTCATGCCACTGTTTTTCCTCACCATTTACTGGCATTTGTCTCTCAAGGAACATACAAATCATGGTCACAAATCTACAGAATTTATATATTTTGATAATTCATTATTGAAGGAAAAAATATTATTTAAAGATCATAACGGTGAGAGTAAATAGTGGCATGAATGGCCTGCCACAGTTAAGTCCAACTTAAAGTCGATCTTAATCTTTGAGAAACACTCCCCAGGTCTCATAATTTTTATCGCTCCTTGTCTGAGGGGCCTGACTGCCTCCTCCAACTATTCATTTCTCTCAAGTTTTCTCTCATCACCCTTTTTTGCATGTGAATTCAAGACAAAACGTAGCCTCTGTGTTCTTGTGCAGTCAAAGAATAATCCATGATGCATTTCTTTGTACCTATTAGATGCTGTGGCTACATCCAAGATGCTCAAGTTCACTGGTCCCAGTGGCTTGCCTGCTAAACCAGATGATGCTATCACCATCTCAAAGGCTCTTTCACAGAAAGCCTTCGCAGCAGGTAAACCAGGGCCTTTTTTATTGTTTTCTATAATAAATGTCACATTTCTACGACAATTTTGCTCACAGCCACTCAAATTCAATATTTCAGTAGCTTATTATAACAATTATTGTAATTTGTTATTGATAATAACTTAATGAGCTTCATGAAATGGGTCTAACATACCTGCCAACCACCCCGATTTAGGCGGAGTTCCTCCGCATTTTTCATACCAACTCCGAATTCCGAATGCATGCCTCAAAACTCCGATTTTTTTTAATTTAATTTATTTTATTTATTTTTTTTTTTTATTTTTTTTTTTTTTATTTATTTATTTATTTATTTATTTTTTTTTTTTTAGAGTGTAATGCACTTGGAGAGTATATAACTATTATGTTTGTATTTTGAAATGTAAAGCGCCTTGAGCATGTTCATGTAAAGGCGCTCAATAAATACCAATATGTATGTATGTATGTATAAGACTAAAGCATAACACAGCACTGATAACCAGATCACGCCGACATCCGCGCTTGCGCTCATAGAAGATATACACAGCGACATGGAAAAAAAAAAAAACCCTAAAGTCCTGTGTACCCCCCCCCCCCCCCCCCCCCCCCAATCTACGGGCTACTACCCCAATCCTTCGGTGGTTCGCGACCTCGTAGTCCATCCAGAAAAATTTACTCCTAATTTCTCTTGTCTCAGGTTGGCAGGTATGGTCTAATTTCTACTTTTACTTGTTATTATGTTAACTTTAACTATTTTTTACCATTCCATTATTGTTCATAGTTCTGATATCAGATGAAAAATAGTAACATACTGATCTTGTGTTCCTACATAAATATTGGAATGAATTAAATTAATAAATGAAATATGTACTTATATTTTCCTGTTTTGTGGAAGGGAATTCTTTTAGGCCCTTTATATCATCCCTGTATTCTTAGCGAAACACTATTTAAGAATGTAAAAACAAACAAGCTAATCAAGCAATAAAACATTACAAACATGAACAATTTCAACAACAAAAAAAGGAAAGGTATTGTATGTATAGGTCTGTTTTGGTTAATTTAACCTACTTGTGTAAGTGTGGTGAACAAAGATACATTTTAATCTTTTATTTTCCATTCAGGCATTCTGACTATCCGGCCCTTTGGGGAGAAAGGATCCCAGCTTGTACGACGTGACACGATGATATTCTATGTTGTTCGAGGCAAAGTCGCCATGACCCTTCACGAGACGAGCCAGATATTACAGAGTGGAGACTGGTTCTTTGTTCCTAAAGGTGAATATTTATCCTTGTTCGCATTGTGTGCTTTTAATAAGCCTTGCTTAGACATTAGGCAGCAAACTGCTTAAAGCCCCACTGCATTACTTGTAGCTACTTACTCCCTCTTTATAGAAAACAATGCCTAAGCGGTGCCCGTTGGTCCCCCATGATCGTCTTTTTCTTATGTTAGTTGAGAGCTGAGTTGATGAGATAACCACCTGTCAGTGACCATGCTGGGTGGTCTAATCCCTCCTGGTTATACTAGTACAGATGGGCTTAGGGGGGAAATGCTCTAAAAGACGGATCAAAAATCAGAGAAGCAAACTGGTGAAAGTTTTGAACGAAATATGACACAAACAGAGTAATCTGTAATCACTATATGTGTTTTACTAGATGGATTTTCAAGGCTATAATATACGCTCAACCTGTAAATAACTAGAGCTGTTTTTTTTTTATTATATGCTAGAAATTATTTGTATTTGCTATAAAAATCACCATCCTTATTACCCTTGAGTGGTTCTTATACACAGGTAAGGTTTACTGTATTTTGATGGTTTTGTTTGTTTGGTCTTCCCGTCATTTCAGGTAACGTTTATAACATCACGAACCTGCGGAGAGACGAGGCCAAGCTGACTTTCTTCCAGCTAAAAAGTTCATGAAAGTCGGACGAGGAAAAACAGAGCCTTGCACTTGCATGGAGATTACGACGATTCTTCAAACTTTGCTTTTGAAGAGCAACCAAGAAGTATGGACTTTCTGTATTTTGTACCGAAATTAGAGAATATGAATGGTTTGTTACAGAAATCCCAATTCTCAAGATCAAGGTACGGTATTCAATGTGATACTTTGTATGAGTAAAACTTATTTTTCGCATTTGGCTTAGCTAAGTAAAATGTCTTGACTTGTATTCAGATCACATTTAAGCAATTTACTTTTGCGAGCAAACTTATGCCAAAATACCTACTGATAAGCATTGTGATATCACACAGTCAATCAAAAGTAATGCGCAATTTACCTGTAGTATTAAATGTGGGCTAATATTATTGTGCGCAGCTTATGATGAACAATCAATGCTTCCAAAATAATTGGCTTGAGTCTGCTAGCGAGCTGTCTTTTAATTTAGGGTAAAATACTTAGCCAGAAGCATCAAACGAATACTGAAGTTGGCTACCGGTAAGTATTTTATCTAAGTTTTTTTTATCTGAGTGAAATACTGATATTTCTGGTTTAGATATTGAATTGAATACCGGCCCAGTTTCTGCGATGTTGTATTCTTTTCATTACAGAAATAGTGGTACCCTCAACAAAGTAGTAATTTTCAGCCGTTGGGGAAAAAATGCTCTTGTGAAAGTTGGCAGCTCTGGGGGTCGTTTCACAAAGATACTAAGCGGAACTTAACTCCAAGTTGGACCTAACAATTATGGAAAGCTTTGAGCATCTTTGAAAATAAAGCTATTTTAAAATTGGCATAAAACGTTGATTCAAATCTTTCATGTTTTCTTTTATCAAGGACATTTCATGTTCTTGATGTGGAATTTATGAAAAGTCTACAATACGTGAATTTTTGCTTTTGAATATATTTTATTTTAAGGCTACAAATGGCTCTCCATAATGTTTAAGTCCAACTTAGAGTTAAGTTCGACTTCGGATCTTTGTGAAACACCCCCCTGGTGTGTATCTTTTTGGACACTTTCAAAGTGCAAGTAGCGGAATTACATTTTGTATATGCAGTGTAACGTATATTTGCATCTCATGAATTTATAGATTTTACTGTCATTAATAAAATACTTAACTATGCGTAAAACTGAGGTAGAGTATGGAATGTCTTTTTATGATTTTTAAAATTGTATAGATCAGTTATGGAGCATTAAAAAAATGGGGTACTTGTATTACCATCACTGTCAGTTGGCAACTTAATTTACCTGTGATTAAGGATGCTCGTCGATAACAAATCTCCTGTAAGTTTGAAGTGTTCAAAAATGATATTGCTAAAACAATAATGATGTGGGGGGGGGGGGGGGAAGGAGAGCCTTGTTCATGCAGAATACTTCCGTGATCAATTTTCTAGTAAATTGTAAATTTTATTGTAAATAACTTTTTAACAAGATTTCAATAAACATAACAATGTACTTGTATATCTGATGTCTATTTAACGTAAACTTTACAATTAAAGGTTTCTATTTAAAAAGTAGGTGCATTCATTAGAAGGTTCAAGTGGAAATAATTTCATTTCTTATTCTTGATTTCTTACCGTAATCAATATTTCAGTAAATGTATGACATGAACTAAACATGTTATAAAATTTGCCTGTGCGATGTACAGTATATATATATACTGTTCATGTATATAGAACTTTTGTGATATTGCAAATAATACTTCCTATTTCATATAAACATGTATTTTATTTGCTGGGGGTGTATTACTGTCATTTTAAATGCTTTTAATGCATTTTGGTTGGAAAAGCTCTGATTATTTACGCTACTTTATAACTTCAGAAAGATTGTTGTGCCAAAAAAAGCCATACAACATACTTCATTCATACCACTAGGTATAAGGACTTCAGCTTTCTCATTGTCATTGGCTTTTGGTGTAAATGTTATGAGTACTCTTAACATTGTTTGGGGTGTAAATGTTCTTTCAGACTTTCTCACATGAATTGAAAAGGCATGAATCTTCGCATTGTTTTAATAATAATAATAATGAACGTTATTTAGAAGGCAAAGCGAGGCAGTTGCTATTGTCCTTGATCACCACATAATAATGTAATTTCATGTTAAGAGGCAAAAGGGCCTTGAACGTTTCAAAGTATTATCCAACTTATGTTTGATCATATTTGTTTGGATTTTTGTATAATTTTTAACTGTATTTTCTGCCTTGCACTGCACAGTAAGCACTGTATATACATGCATTAGTTTGATGTACATTAGAGATGAATTAACTAACTGTAAATAAATTGTAAATAAACCTATCAATCTGCTATAAATATCGTCTATACCAGCCTTCATTATTTGTATGTTCATGTATGAGTACGATAAGTCCTGTATAAAATGCTTGCAGTGATGACTAAACATGAATTGTAACGTTAAAAATTTCCTTAGATGAATAATCATTGATCTGCAGGTTGTGTGAGAAAAAGCGATAACTATGCTGTGAATTGCATACAAAGTGAATGTGCTCTGTGAACATACACAATCTCAACCTGCCTACAAAGGCCACCCTTTTTTTAAACCCCTAGATCTATCTACATGCATGTACTTTTGCATCTTATGGATGTGTTTTTTTTCCTGGGGAGCTATGAAGAGTTATTCCATTAACCTGTTATTAATAAATGAACCAAAATAGTTGGAATCCAGGCTGCATATATTCCTTGATGCTATGTCGGGAAAGCCTCTGACAAGTTTTCATTTTTTCAAGAACAACCTTTGTTTAAAAAGCATGGATAAAGTTTGAATGGTAGTAAACTGGTCTATTGTACTTGAAAACATTCTTTTTCTGGCATGGACAGTCTTCTTTGCCATAGTTTGTTTTGGTCTATTTAAATCGGCATTGCATATTGCTCTAACTTTTACTTGCTTTGGGAGACGTTATCTTTTAGAACCCACTTAATCTTGCTCAATATAGCTCGATAGACACTATTTCACTCTGCTTCTAGCTATATTTACCTCTCATATTCTCAGTTTGTTTTTCAGGTAAGATATAGATGTACTTGTAGGACAACAACATGAAGAAATTTAATACTTCTCCCCCCCCCCTTCAAATTCAGAATTTCACTAGTGTCATTATTTTTTAACTTGAGAAGGTGGCTTTTTAGAAATATGACATCACCAATTTTTGTTTCTGTTCATATATTTCATCAAATTGAACTGTTGGAGCATCCTTTAATTATGTAATGTAATTTAGTATATCAAACATTAACCCATGTATAGGCCTTCTACCGATGACTGCATTACATTTTTTCGGAACAGAATACAGGGACAACAACGTCTTTAACAAAATGCAATCAAAGACAAATATTAATTCTACTATAGACATGGCAATTTAATGACAAAATCATTTGCACGATTTGAAAATTTGAAAATGACTTGCAAGTACAAGTACTTCACACATAAAGAATACCGGTACACGCAATCATCTCCAAGAGTTAAAAAATGGAGTCCACCCTGATAAAACATTGTATTTTGTTGATTTAAAAGAGCAAAAAAATGAGAGAAACATGTCAGCGAAGTTTGAGCAAAAACTGATTTTAAAAAAATAGGAATTTTTAAAAGTGCGATCGATCAAACAGAAATTGGCAACTTTGCGACGTATCTTGCGAGCTCCCCTCCCATTTGCCCTATACTGAAAACGCTAAAAATATATTCCCGTAAGAAAATTAGAAAAAATCCCTTAGAAAATTTTTTATCATACATTCGTCCTAAATATAGTTATTTCAAATATGTTTTTATACAACCCTTATATGAAATAAATTAATTCCGTCATCAACAACATTCTAGGAAAACAAAAGTTTATGAAATTTTCTGCACAGAGCACATTTCACTAATTTGTTTCTCTCATTTTTCTACTTCCATTAAAACCAACTTAATATCAGAGTGGACTTCTCCTTTACTTATCATGAAATGAAGAGATGAAGAAACACAGCAGCAAGAGCAGTCGAATCCTTTTCCCCTATTTCAGGTTCTTTCCTGACACGTATCACACAAATTATTGTGATTTGAGTTTCAAAGACCTGTTTACTGGAGAACCTTTGTATGCATACAAGGAGGATGGTCTCGATCCACTGAGTATGAAATATCACATATCTAAATTTACATGTGGCATTTTGTTTCTGGCGTAAGGCATCCATAAATTTGAATTCATTAGTAAAAATGATCTAGTATGGCCAGCTATACATACATGTACATGTATATTGCAACCTTGCATAGCAAAATGTAAAGCGTATATCATATATGTAATGATAACCCAAAATGCACCCCCAAAAATGACTAATTCCATTTTCAAAATAAAATGCCTTTGATCCCGAATAATGACAACATGGTTCTACATGAAATACATGTTATATCAATGCTCTGACCTTTTTCCTTATTTATTACTGAGTACACATAATTTGATGATTCTTTTTATTCAAATTAAGCAGGCTTTAATAAATCATCCCGTACTGTAAGTTTACATATCGGTATTGAAGTGTTTGCACTTTGCATGACCTGTATCTGGTTCAGGAAATTATGATTTCTGCATTGATTTGTCAAACTCTTTTTCTTATTTTATATATTATAATAAATATATAGTAGAAGGGCAAAGGGACATGCATCACAATATAAATTCAGCATAAAATGACCCCTGACCTTACATGACCTCCGACCCCTATACACCATTAAAAGAAAGGCTATATATGCCATAAAAAGCACACTTATCCACACACAACAGAATAAAAATAGTCAAATGTTTCATTATACAGTGTATAATGATGATGGAATGCTGCAGTATAAAAGTTGTCTTTCTAATTTACATGTAACTATACATCTATACCATACTTGTATATAACCTGTATCAAAGCTGTAATAAATGAAGTAGGTACAAGAATAGTTTTGTCCTTTTACTTGTGTTCTTCAGTTGCTCAAATAGATATTTTATGTCATGTATACTTAATTTACGATTTCATCATAATTTGGCCGAACTCTAGTAAGGTAAATAGTCAAAAGGCAAGCCATATCAGGCTGATAATGGGAAAGTACATCCATCCATATCTGAACTTGAATCACTGAATCAATTAAAAGGGAAGGTTAAAAGAAGGTCATGATTGATGACAAAATAGAAATAACATTGATTTTAATTAAAATGGCAATGAATACAGACATACTGCAGCTAATTTCATCTTGCACTTAACGGAGTTAGTTGGAAAAATGCGGGACAGAAAGCCAAAATCTGACAATATAGACAGAAGGTAGAGGAACAAAGAGCAGGGAAAAATAATGATCTGTGATTGAGTACTGTAATCACAAGAAAGTAGATATAAATAGTAATGGCCCCTAACTTTCACAACCAGGAATGGACTAAACTCAGGTAATATGGCAGATAATACATATTCTCCATTTTTAAATATGAACAAGGTTTTACAACTAGTTTGAGTATGTACATGTATATCATGCAAGGCTCTAATGAACTTCTCCATAAATATGATTTTAAAAAAACAGACTATATTCTTATGCGTGCATACTGTTTAATACCCAGTTATCATTTTTTTTAAAGGAGAAAACTCCCATCAAGGTATGTCAATTTCATCTCACTGCCAAAGGGCAATTACAATGACTGTAGCAAGGGTGACCTTTAAAAAAAAATATGATGACATGTTTATATATGGCATAGAAATAATAAACAAGCATGAATAATAAATATGCAACAGGAGCAAAAGTGGCAGTAGATGCTAATTGATGTAAAAATAGTATTTGTTGTTGTGAGCTGTAGTAGAAGAAGTAAAATTAGCATTTTTGAAATAACAGTAGTAATAGTCATAGAAGTAGTAAACATAAAGGTAGAAGTAGAAATAAGTAGTTGTAGTAGCTACCTTAGTCATGGTTGCAACTAGAGTACATAGGTGTATCCATAGCAATTGTCAAAGTTGCACTCATAGCATTTGTACAAGCAGTAGCAATAAAGATTTTGTATATTAAAATAGTAGAAGTATGAATTAGGATCAAATAAAGTAGCTCCTGTGAAAGCACTAGAAATATTTGGTCATACAGTACTTGTTTACCAAGGTGACACAAGCATTTTTAAAAACATTTTTTAAAACATGTTCAATCATATTTTATGTATAAAACATGAAAAGAAAGTCTGCAAAGAATATAATCAATGGATCTTCAATCCATGATATAGTTAAAAGTTTTCTTTTCAAAAATATGAAAGCTTCAGTTTGGTTGAATATGTACATGAAACAGATAGGCACTTCTTGCACAAAGAGATGATAGACTTTACATAGATGTTAGGGCGATTCTGCATAAGTAAAAAGTGACAATTTGACAATAGTTTCTTCATCCATGAATTTGAAAATCAATTTTCTTTCTAGTATAACTACAGAGCATGATTGATATCATGGTTTTAAAACAGAATGTCATACATTATTTGTATAGTCTGCAAGGCTTGAAAATGTTGTCAAACAATCCTTGTTACCAATAGAAAATTGCCTAAGAGAGAAACTAGTTATCAAACTCACACACCCCACATTACAGCATGCATTTTTACTTTGTATATATCACAAACAGCAAATATATATATATATAAGTGAATACAAAAGAACAGCTAAATCTTGTTAAATTTTAGTTCTCATTGAATACCAAAAGTAGAGGTTAATTTTGAGCTTCAGTGAAAAAAAAGGAAGGATATAAGAAAATCAAAAAATATCTTGAAATAGAAATATTTGTTTTTCAGGCTGCAATCCCTGGAAAACAATTCTCACTACCGCATATAGCAATATACATGTACATTCTCATAATGCATTGTGCCTCTGAACAATTATTCTCAGTACAATTTTGTAGACTCACTAACTTTCGGTGATCCTAAAACATGTATTCTGCTATTCTTCGATTTACTAGTAATTTATTATCTGTAATTCTTAATCTTGTTCGATAGTTACAAATTTTGCAAAATACACAAGCAGTAACGGTAAGTATGTTGATTAATTGAAAGTAATGTACCAGCATTGGCAAATGCCAGCGGTTGGAGAAATTCTCTCAAAAAATGAAAACTTGGCATGCTGCAATAGCAAAAGTAGATTCTTTTCCCCAAGCCATGATTGGGCTCTATTGTCAAGAATGTTCAAGAATTTCCCATGATATACAGCAGGGTCACATATTTCATAAATTTACATCATTAGAGATTTAGGCAAAACTACATTTCATTTCTAGTCTCATTAACAGTTAAGTGTGAGTCCAATACTTTGTCCCCCGTTTTGACAGAAAATAAGTTTGTGCGACTGCAAACGCCTGATAAATTCGCTAGTAAAATTAGAGTGCCGCATACACAACGTCTTTTAAAAAATGCGATCAAAGAAAAGTTATTATTCTACTATAGACGTGGCTTAAATGTTCTAAGCTATATGCGGTAGGGAGAATTATGACAGAACATGAACATATAAAATAGAGGAGTAGAATTTTCATGGTATTGCACAACTTTTGTATCATAATTCTAAACTGACCATGTAACAATTAATTGGAAATCTATATTCAATCTACAGTTTAAAATAAGGCTTTCCTCAGTTTTCTTAACACTATTCTCCATTCTGCACTTGACACATAGATTTAACACACACACACACACACACAAAATAAAAAACAAATCAAAGCTGACCCCTCCCCCTGCCTCCACCCACTGCAAAAGCTTGGATGCCCCTTAGAGGAAAACCAAGAGCTAATTAAAAGACAACTAGGTATTTTTAGCAGTAGGCCTACCATACATGAGGATGGCCGACACATCAGGTACGATATACTCGTATGCAACCATCTAGATTCCTCACAAATGCATTCCTAATCCTCACAGTTGCATTACTAAGCCTCAAAGTCGTTTTATCACAAATGTGTAAATCACAATTGTAACAATTTCATTATTGATTGCTTTTTTTTCTTCATAATTCTGAGTTGGCCTAGTAAAGAATTCCATAAGACTAGTAAATGACTACATTCCACTCAAATAGTATTAGCCCTGTTAAAGGCGCAAGTGCATGTCATCAAAACACACTGGAACTTAAGTACATCGTACATGTATGCTAATTATCACAAGATAGGCACAAAAATTTCAATCATTTCTGAAATATACAATCCTCATTCAATCATTTGTAAATCACTTCAAAATATTATTTCCATTTTACACACTGCATTTCAGTACATTAGAAACATAACAATGATAATAAATAGCAGAAAGTGAAATGACTATTTAAAGAATTGTCACTAGCCTATTTCATTGGACGGCGAGTTGATTAGAAGTCTCTTATAGATACAATTTTACAATTCACAATTTCACACAATAAATGAGCATATAATCACATGATTTCCTAGAAGTCATACAGAAATATAAATCTTATCAATCTAAAGGCTTCACATCAAAAATCTTAACATGTATACATTTAAAGAACAATGTACTTTGATATAAGCATACCAAATAAGTATTCTTGGTCCAATTCAGAAAATGACTTCTTTTTTTTCTTGACAATTTCTCCCGATCTCCAATGGATATTGACTTGGCCACAACAAAAATATATATTGCTTAAAGTGAACACTGAACACATAAGTGGAGGTACACTTGTTGTAGAATTACAAAGTGAATGTTCAGGAAATTTGAGAATCTCATTCAATAATGACACAAAAATCAATTCAAAGATCAAAACATTTCTTCACACACTGTGTCGACTTTTGTTGCTTTACCATTTTGCATTTGACTCTAGAATTTAAAAAAAGTAAAATAAGCATTAAGCTTCTTAAAGTAGCAAAATGATGATAAGCTCAAAGTCATTGTTTTTCAGTATGAATCAGCAAAGTTGTAGTTTAACGTCAATGACATTTTAAAATATTCTTAGATACAGAACTTTCATAGGAAAAGTAAGGCAAATAGAGAGATACAAGTGTTGCCATTTTGAAGAAGAAGAAACACTGATTTCATCAGCCATTGCAAATCCCAGTCCTGCATGGGTGGCCTACCTTAGAGAATGGAACAGATGGCACACTTGGTGACCGCCACCTGTTGCGCTTGTCTCTGCCCTCCTCCTCCACCCGTGCTGTTTCTCCCGAGGCTGCTCTGGGTGCGCAGGGACTCCACTCGGCTGGGGCTATGCATGCTCCGCGGGGTCGTGGAGTCGGCTGACTGGGAGTTGTTGGTCGTGATGATCTCGACGGCCGAGTCTTCGATCTTGACGGCCGGTTTGACCTGGATGGGCTTGACGTAGCGAGTGATCTGATGGATCACATCCTGGTTCTTCATCTCCTTGTCGGCCTTGACCCCTGACCCTCCATGACCTCCGACCCCTATGAACAAAGATCAGACCACCGTAAAGCGTTGATTAAATTTGCTTGAAACAAAGATGCGAATCACACATCATCATGGAATATAAACTGAATGCATTATCCCCCAATAAACATCTTTTTTTCGTAGCTTGGCAAAAGTTAGTGGCATTTTTTGACACATTCCTTGTTGGTGATTTCAGTCATGTAAAGTGTAAACTGATACACCACAAATACTGTTTCAATATTACGTAGCCGAATCATGTTGTTAAAGAGGTAAATGTTTGGAGCAACTAAATGGTGTTATCTCTGATTGTAAAACTGTATGCTCTTGTTAGGACAACAGACAATATAAGCATGCCTCGATCTATACAACCAAATTATGAATATTTTAAGAATCATATGCACGATGATTTTAACCAAACATAGATGGAGACACCAACGTATTCGTCTTGTCAACATGTGTCATCCATGTAACGGGCGTGTCTTTATATTGCGCTACGATCCTGGTATATTAGACAGCTCTTTTGCAGATATACCAATGTGTGATTGATCCTCAGCGCATCACGTGAAATCGAGTTTGAGGATATTAACTGGAAGGGGGCCGTACGTAATATACCAGTACATTCTTTGGAAGGTACAGGCGTTTTATTTTCCCTTGTGATCAAATACTCCAGAGCCCCATAGTTCAGGAAAATGCTACTCCTTGTGAAAATACAAGTCCCTTCGGCGGTCCAAGGAATGTTACAGTTAAACCTGCTTTAGTGACCACCTGTCTACAAAGACCACATTTTTTGTCTTCCTTGAAAATGGTTTCTCATTGAAAAATGTACTAAAGGAACCTGTCTACAAAGACCACCTGTCTTCAAAGACCAATTTTTGTGTTTCCCTTGAGCGATCGCTATAGACAGGTTTGACTGAATATTACACCCTCTTCCAGTTTCTATCTGTAAGATATACTCACCAATAAAGGTGACATAGATGAGCTGTGACACGATGAGGGCCATGCCGCCAGGTGGTGGCCAAGGGACTTTCCTGAAGATGATGGGAATGATAGGTTTCTTGAGCTGATCGGCAAGGCTCAACTCCCGATTACAGTTCTCTGACATGATGTATTGGGGCGTGATGCAGCACACAAACACCTGCAGCCGGCCAACATGGAAGAATGGATAATAATAATGATGATGATGATGATATTCCACATTTATAGACAATATAAGGTATTTGATATTAAGGCTGCGACGGGTAGTCGAATTCGAATGCTCGAGTACCCGCACGGTTGACAACTACTCGGGTACGATTTATTGTACCCGAATATTCGGCCGCAAAAAAAAAAAAAAAAAAAAAAAAAAAAAAAACTAGATGGAATTTTGACTGCGCGCAGTCGAAAATGATGCCTCCGCCATAGAGCAATTTAAACAAGTTTGGAGTTTAAATCTCCAGTGGTTCTTGAGATATCATGATAACAATCTCAATGTATGGAATTTCATAAGTTGACCTCTGTGACCCTTGACCTTTGACCTACGTGCTCCAAAATCTAATCAGATTGTCTTCCTATGGTGATCCACACTATCATTAAGTTTGAAGTTTAAATCTCCAGTGGTTCTTGAGATATTATGATATGGTGATACATACTATCATTAAGTTTGAAGTGAAAATTCTCAAGTGGTTCTTGAGATATCGCGATAACGATCTCAATGTATGGAATTTCATAAGTTGACCTCTGTGACCCTTGACCTTTGACCTACGTGCTCCAAAATCTAATCAGATTGTCTTCCTATGGTGATACACACTATCATTAAGTTTGAAGTTTAAATCTCCAGTGGTTCTTGAGATATTATGATATGGTGATACATACTATCATTAAGTTTGAAGTGAAAATTCTCCAGTGGTTCTTGAGATATCGCGATAACGATCTCAATGTATGGAATTTCATAAGTTGACCTCTGTGACCCTTGACCTTTGTCCTACGTGCTCCAAAATCTAATCAGATCGTCTTCCTATGGTGATACATACTATCCTCAAGTTTGAAGTTTTTACATCTCCAGTGGTTCTTGAGATATCATGATAACAATCTCAATGTATGGAATTTCATAAGTTGACCTCTATGACCCTTGACCTTTGACCTACGTGCTCCAAAATGTAATCAGATTGTTTTCCTATAGTGATACACACTATCACTAACTTTGAAGTTTAAATCTCCAGTGGTTCTTGAGATATCATGATAACAATCTCAATTTATGGAATTTCATAAGTTGACCTCTGTGACCCTTGACCTTTGACAAACGTGCTCCAAAATCTCATCAGATCATCTTCCTATGGTGATACATACTATCCTTAAGTTTGAAGTTTAAATCTCAAATGGTTCTTGAGATATCGCGCTAACAAACTCAATACAAGGAATTTCATAAGTTGACCTCTGTGACCTGTGACCTTTGACTTACGTACTCCAAAATCTAATCAGATCGTCTTCCTATGGTGATAAATACTATTCCCGAGTCTTAAGTTTAAATCTTAAATGGTTCTTGAGATATTGTGATAACGGTCAAACAGGACGGATGTATGGACGGACAACCCGAAAACATGATGCCTCCGGCACCACCTTCGGTGGCAGAGGCATAAAAATATATTTTCCTCCAAAATCCTGAACCACCCCGGCCCTTACCATTTCGGCCTGAAATTGGTGTTTATTCAAATTATCACAATATTTGCCCCTACGCCCCTATCAAAGGGATATGGGGGTCAGAATCGATTTAATGCATGTAGGTACAATCATTGTGGGGAAACTAACCTATTAAATAAAATATATATTTTCCTCCAAAATCCTGAACCACCCCGGCCCTTACCATTTCGGCCTGAAATTGGTGTTTATTCAAATTATCACAATATTTGCCCCTACGCCCCTTTCAAAGGGATAGGGGTCAGGATCCATCTAATGGCATGTATGGACATTCATTGTGAGGAAACTAACCTATTAAAAAAATATAATATTTTCCTCCAAAATGCTGAACCACCCCGGACCTTCTAATTTCGGCCCGAAAGTTGTGATAATTCAAATTTTTACAATATTTGCCCCTACGCCCCTTTCAAAGGGATATGGGGGTCAGGATCCATCTAATGGCATTTATGTACATTCATTGTGGGGAAACTAGCCTATTAAAAAAATATAATATTTTCCTCCAAAATGCTGAACCACCCCGGCCCTTACCATTTCGGCCCGAAAGTTATGATAATTCAAATTATCACAATATTTGCCCCTACGCCCCTTTCAAAGGGATATGGGGGTCAGGATCCATCTAATGGCATGTATGGACATTCATTGTGGGGAAACTAACCTATTCAAACAATATAATATTTTCCTCCAAAGTGCTGAACCACCCCGGCCCTTACCATTTCGGCCTGAAATTGGTGTTTATTCAAATTATCACAATATTTGCCCCTACGCCCCTTTCAAAGGGATATGAGGGTCAGGATTCATCTAATGGCATGTATGTACATTCATTGTGGGGTAACTAGCCTAATCAAAAAATATAATTTTTTCCTTCAAAATGCTGAACCACCCCGGCCCTTACAATTTCGGCCCGAAAGTTGTGATAATTAAAATTTTTACAATATTTGCCACTACGCCCCTTTCAAAGGGATATGGGGGTCAGAATCGATTTAATTGCATGTATGTACAATCATTGTGGGGAAACTAGCCTATTAAAAAAAATATAATATTTTCCTCCAAAATGCTGAACCACCCCGGCCCTTACCATTTCGGCCCGAAAGTTGTGATAATTCAAATTTTTACAATATTTGCATCTTCGCCCCTTTCAAAGGGATATGGGAGTCAGGATCAACCTAATGGCATGTATGTACATTCATTGTGGGGAAACTAGCCTATTCACAAAATATAATATTTTCCTCCAAAATGCTGAACCACCCCGGCCCTTACCATTTCGGCCTGAAATTGGTGTTTATTCAAATTATCACAATATTTGCCCCTATGCCCCTTTCAAAGGGATATGGGGGTCAAGATCCATCTAATGGCATGTATGGACATTCATTGTGGGGAAACTAACCTATTCAAAAAAAATAATATTTTCCTCCAAAATGCTGAACCACCCCAGCCCTTACCATTTCGGCCCGAAAGTTGTGATAATTCAAATTTTTACAATATTTGCATCTTCGCCCCTTTCAAAGGGATATGGGAGTCAGGATCAACTTAATGGCATGTTTTACATTCATTGTGAGGAAACTAGCCTATTCAAAAAATATAATATTTTCTTCCAAAATGCTGAACCACCCCGGACCTTCTAATTTCGGCCCAAAAGTTGTGATAATTAAATTTTTACAACATTTGCCCCTACGCCCCTTTCAAAGGGATATGGGGGTCAGGATCCATCTAATGGCATGTATGTACATTGATTGTGGGGAAACTAGCCTATTCAAAAAATAATATTTTCCTCCGAAATGCTGAACCACCCCGGCCCTTACAATTTCGGCACGAAAGTTGTGATAATTCAAAATTTTACAATATTTGCCCCTTCGCCCCTTTCAAAGGGATATGGGGGTCAGGATCCATCTAATGGCATGTACGTACATTCATTGTGGGGAAACTAGCCTATTCAAAAAATATAATATTTTCCTCCAAAATGCTGCACCACCCCGGACCTTACCATTTCGGCCCGAAAGTTGTGATTATTCAAATTATCACAATATTTGCCCCTACGCCCCTTTCAAAGGGATATGGGGGTCAGGATCCATCTAATGGCATGTATGTACATTCATTGTGGGGAAACTAGCCTAATCAAAAAATATATTTTTCCTTCAAAATGCTGAACCACCCCGGCCCTTACAATTTCGGCCCGAAAGTTGTGATAATTCAAATTTTTACAATATTTGCCCCTACGCCCCTTCCAAAGGGATATCGGGGTCAAGATCCATCTAATGGCATGTATGGACATTCATTGTGGGGAAACTAACCTATTAAAAAAATATATATTTTCCTCCAAAATGCTGAGCCACCCCGGACCTTCTAATTTCGGCCCGAAAGTTGTGATAATTCAAATTTTTACAATATTTGCCCCTACGCCCCTTTCAAAGGGATATGGGGGTCAGGATCCATCTAATGGCATGTATGTATATCATTGTGGGGAAACTAGCCAATTAAAAAAAAATAATATTTTCCTCCAGAATGCTGAACCACCCCGGCCCTTACAATTTCGGCACGAAAGTTGTGATAATTCAAAATTTTACAATATTTGCCCCTTCGCCCCTTTCAAAGGGATATGGGGGTCAGGATCCATCTAATGGCATGTACGTACATTCATTGTGGGGAAACAAGCCTATTCAAAAAATATAATATTTTCCTCCAAAATGCTGAACCACCCCGGACCTTACCATTTCAGCCTAAAATTGGTGTTTATTCAAATTATCACAATATTTGCCCCTACGCCCCTTCCAAAGGGATATGGGGGTCAAGATCCATCTAATGGCATGTATGGACATTCATTGTGGGGAAACTAACCTATTAAAAAAAATATATATTTTCCTCCAAAATGCTGAGCCACCCCGGACCTTCTAATTTCGGCCCGAAAGTTGTGATAATTCAAATTTTTACAATATTTGCCCCTCGCCCCTTTCAAAGGGATATGGGGGTCAGGATCCATCTAATGGCATGTAGGTACATTCATTGTGGAGAAACTAGCCTATTAAAAAATATATATTTTCCTCCAAAATCCTGAACCACCCCGGCCCTTACCATTTCGGCCTGAAATTGGTGTTTATTCAAATTATCACAATATTTGCCCCTACGCCCCTTTCAAAGGGATATGGGGGTCAGGATCCATCTAATGGCATGTATGTACATTCATTGTGGGGAAACTAGCCTAATCAAAAAATATAATTTTTCCTTCAAAATGCTGAACCACCCCGGCCCTTACAATTTCGGCCCGAAAGTTGTGATAATTCAAATTTTTACAATATTTGCCCTACGCCCCTTTCAAAGGGATATGGGGGTCAGGATCCATCTAATGGCATGTATGTACATTCATTGTGGGGAAACTAGCCTAATCAAAAAATATAATTTTTTCCTTCAAAATGCTGAACCACCCCGGCCCTTACAATTTCGGCCCGAAAGTTGTGATAATTCAAATTTTTACAATATTTGCCCCTACGCCCCTTTCAAAGGGATATGGGGGTCAGGACCATCTAATGGCATGTAGGTACATTCATTGTTGGGAAACTAGCCTATTAAAAAAATATATATTTTCCT